ATGTGGTTTCCCCCCTCACCCACCCACCCGTATTGTTTGTCCATTGGGTATTGCACATATCCTGTGTCGTGTTTGATATTTGTGGAGTTAAATGTCAATTTACAGACGCACAATTATACTATATTTTATAAACTGCATTTCATACATATGTTACCAAAATAAAACAAGTATTCCTGGCTAGCTGAAAGAACATCACGTCCTTAGGGACGGGCCGATGGATGGTCACGTGCAAGAATTACCACTTTGGGAGGCCTTCATCCAGCAGTGGATTGAACGTGGCTGATGAGGATGTGTATTATAAATGAACAAACATTTATTCGGGTTTAGAATGATACCCCTCTTACCGGCAGGTGCCTGCTCTCCAACAGGCTGAATCGCAGGGACAGTTGTGACATTATACAGCACAATAATAATAACAATAATACAATGCCAAATGTGGATGTACTGGATGCAGTAGATATGCCGAACACACCCGCCCATTATTTTTCGAGCGTAGTGCGAACCCAGTTTCTTTGAACAAAGCAATGAGCTGAACAAACAATTGCGTACAGTGTATTAAGGGAGGGATTCCTTAAACCTACACCGCACCGACCAGCGCTGGTGAAGTATGGTCAAACAATCTCCACGACCTGACGCGGTGCGGGAGAGACCTCCATCCAGCAGTAGGTGGTCGTTATGGTTAGTTACCATTATTGCCGCGACGATATCGTTCTGTTGAGATAATAATTGCAAATGTGTCGGTGAATTTATAGGTGTTGCCAAAGCATTGACCGGATCGCGGGTTAGTCAACGAACACAATCACTAGGAGTTACCTGGAGCAGGTATTGCAAAATCAACAACACAAATAATAACGAAGCACTTCATTCTCCCCCCGTAATGTCTCACTGAGTCTGAAGACTCCTTGAGCAAGAGGGCCCTGCCACATTGGGATGTTTGGTCAAACAGGGCTGGCACCACACGACCTCCATCATCGCCACCTCCCATGCCAAGCCTATACAACCTGGTAATTCCGAGCCGTTTCTCATATTCACGTACAGCACCGTCCACGCTTTTATCCGGCTCAGCTTTCCAGTTCAGACGAGATCGGGGGCATTCAGGCAGACTCAGCCTGCACCGTGAGTGCCCTGGTACGGTACGTGTCCATCAGCACCAGGCGGGCGGGGGAGACAAAGGCGACCGGGCGTGGTGCTTGACCACATCACAGCACTTGTCAAACAAGTCTGTTAAAGCCTCTATCAGACCTCAACTTTGGCATTCACCTCCTGAACGTATTGCCGCATACGCAGGCGTAGAATCGAATGCTGTGTAGGGCAGGCGGCGGGATATTGGTGGTCTCTGCCGCGTACTCTGCGAATGTGCTGCATGGATTAGTCGCGCGCGCGCGGCATTCGCTCAACAGATGGACCAGCGGCAAACGCGAGACGCAGCTTCTGCGAGCGGGACGATGAATTTCACGCAGATAACAGCTGTTTGAAAATTGGCTCCGGCACGGAATCCCCCGCGAGTGCCAAGATGTTATTAAATCATCCGGCGCTGGGCCCAACGCGGCACTGCTCTGCACGGAGTGGGCCGAGCTGGCGCGGTAATCATCATCATCAGCAGCAGCACGGCTATACCGCTAATGTCGCTTCCCTGTGGAGGATTTGGGGGAAATGTAATTAGGGCTGAATCGTGTCTCTGTTTTAAAGCGACTGGCGAGACCCTCGACAGCTCTCACGCGTACGCACGTACGTACTAACGTGCACTCACGCACGCACGTACGCACGCACACACATACCCACGTGCGTATGTGTGTGCGTATGTGCGTGTGTGCGTGCGTAAGTACGTGCGTGCCCCAACAAAAAGAGCATCCGCCATTCGCCGCTAAGTGGCGGCGACGTTGCCACTGAGCGCCAGTGTCCAGGATAGGTGGCACCTTAAGGCCGTCGCTTGAAGTGTCGAAGGCTCGCTGCTGATGGCAGGTGGAGGGGTCACGGTTGAACCGACTGAGATTAATGGCAAATGTGCACTGCGCATATACGGTTTGCGGCAGTGCGTATATGAAAGGAAGCAAGCATTTGTATCCGCGGGACCGGTTAAGATGAAAAAATTATTACCACTGACGTTGACCGTTACTCGAAATCTAAACTCGGGATGTAGGGTTCGGAGCGCAATGCGCTAACCGCCACATTACCGCTCCCCCATTAAGACACGCACAATAGCAAAGACAAAGACCTCCCGGTATAGCCTTAACAGACTTGGTGCAAGTATTCTTAGCCAGTTCCTATGATGTACACACAAAAAAACAAAGATGGCCCGTATAACATTAACAGACTGTTGATACAAGTGCTGTTAGTGAGCACCTATGAAAGCCGGAACGGCAAACGAGGGGGCGGATAGCCAGCGACCACGCCCGGCCGCATTTGTCTCCCTCGTGGCGATGTTTACATACCGCACCAGGTACTCATTTGAGGCTGAGTCGACCTAGGCGACGCCTAGGACCGATTCAGATCATCGTCACCGGTGTTGGCCACGAGCTGGAATGGAACTCGAGTTGTTCGTCTTCGTAGCGCCGCGTGCTAACCGCTACGCGGTTAGTGTGTGTGTGTGTGTTCGCACGTACGCACGAACACACACACACACACACAGGCGCGCTCGCTCGCGAGGGGAGACGGGCAAGGCAAACAGAGTGCGAGGCGGTCAGAGTACTCGCGGTGTACGGATATTGAACAGACAGAGACGAAACCTAAATCAAACTCGCCGAGTTCACAGCACGCACGCAACGCCGTGGCGCAAACACGCGCCCCTCGAGGCGCAACGAGTTCCCGCGGGGTCCCTCGAGGCGACTCCATGTCCGACGTTCCGCTTGTCCCGCGTGCTGGTGCAGGAGCTTTTTTTGGGAGAGTGACCGAGAGGTCGGACGTAGCGAGTGCTGAATAACGCCACGCTGTTCGACCGCTCGAGACATCCGCGGGGGCAGCCGCTCGGAGCAAATCGCGACACGGCACGGCTGTCTTGCGTCTCGCGAGGCTCCAGCGAGGGGCTGGAGCAGACAGCCATCGTCTCAAAGCCTCGGCACCATCAACAGACTATTGGTCCTTCGTAATCATTTTGCCACTTACGGCCCACTTTGTCAATCCACCGTCGGATGAAGGCCTCCGCGCGACCATACTTCAGCACGCTGATCGGTGCGGTTTGGGTAAAGCGGATGCACAGGATCGGGGTACAGATGTATCACTCGCCACCGATGTTAGCCGTGGTTGGGAATCAAACTCGGGTCGTCGGACTCGTCGTAGCGCATTGCGCCGACCAACGCGCCACCGTTCTCGCTCGAGCTCGTCCACAACCTGGCCACGTGGCCTTGCGGTTAGCGAGCGATTCACGAACGGGAGGTCGCGAGTTCAAATTCTGGTTGGGGATTCACTCAGCCCATCATTCGTCCCTTCGAGGGGGGGGGGGTGCGGTCGATAAAATATGTACCGCTCTGTGGGGAGAAGTCGACCGTGGCTTTGGATAGACTCTCTTCTGCCAAAGGAACGTGGAATGTCCACCACTGGCTCAAGGTTGTAACTAGGAGATAGGCACCCTCCTCATTGGGCATTTGGCTGGCATCAAAAACTCCCCCGGAGTGGCTCGCCTCTCTCTCTCTCTGCGGGACGCGCGTTTTGGTTTTATTGCCAAATAAAAGTGGCTCCGCGCTCTTGGTTGAGGAGCACTGGAACCGATGGGTTCGGAAGGCTCCATAGGTCGACTGACGGAAATAAATGAATACATTTAATGCCATCGGAGCCACGGCGTTCCCTGCCCGTTCGTTATTCATTGGTGTTAAAGGATTACGCCGCTCTTTGATGAGCTCAAATGCACTTCAAGTAGTCTTCACGAACACTGCAACTGTCTTTGCCCAATTACACCCAAGACGGTTACAATTAAGTAGGGCATTTCCGCAATGAAAACGTGCGATCCTTCGGTTATATTCAGTGTCACGAACGCGACGTTTAATTGTTGACAATCAGCATCGGCCAGCATCATCGTGATCATTGTCTTCATCATAACAGTTTGTCTGCTCGCCTTTGCAGACGCGTGGTGCAACCACGTGGACTCAAAAGTGAGACCGCTCACAATGTAAACGCCGATGAGTAGTAACATTATTATGTCTGAGCGCGTTCGAACGTCACATCGGTTGTTAACTTCTTCCCTCTGAGTGACAGTAAATCAATGTGCGGATTTATTGTTAGTATTCGAATTGTGTTGGTTGTAAGAATGCACTTCGTGTTGTCGATGCGCTTTTTATCGTCTTTCGCGTCACACTCCACCGGAGTATGATTGCTCGTTGTTAGCTGATGATGGAGATCGTGTACCTGTGTGCTCACCGTGATAATTAAACCGATTTGCATCCTCGAATCGGAGCATCTCCTGTGAGTAAAAGCAATCAGCAAAGGGTCAAAATGTAAACTATTTTGGTTTATTTTTCTGACTACTGTATTCCAACATATTCAAGTGTTTGGTTCTTCTAAAACATAATTAGAATTTGGCATCGATCACTCAAACGCGATCAACTGTACTCATAATGTATTCTACGAATCATAAGACGCAACGGAAAGTTAGGCGCACTCCAAATCGTGTTCCCTGATCCCAATAAAGTCATACTAAGTTATACTCGACAAAGATCCCCCGTATAGCCTTCAACGCGCTGCTGGGACAAGTGTTGTGAACGAGCACGCGGAGGTGGCGGGCGACTTACGCACCACGCCCGACTTCTGATGTGTACACACCGCAGCAGGTACTCATTTAACGCTGAGGCTACCTACGGCCGGGTGAGGGGGCAGGACAGGTTCACTTTTTATCGGCCGTGAGTGTGACATCGAACTCGGATCGTGCGGGTCAGCAGTGCGATGTGCTACAACGAACCACTGCGACCACCATCCATCACAACGCTTGCGTCTCTCCGACCCCCCCCCCCCACCGCAACTTCTACCCCTCCCCTCCCCCGCTCCACCCCCATTCCTCCCCCCCCGTGCAGGGCTCATCCCGGAGGAGTGGTGCGGCGCTGCCCGGCCCAGCTTCCCCGCCGGCACGCAGGCGGCCAACGGCCTCGACAAGCCGGGCGGTGGCGATGGCGACCTGAAGTATTCCCAGGTAATAAAACAACAATTAGGAGGGGTGGGGGAGTGCAGGCAGAAAGGCGGTGCACCGCTCACCCACCCGCTCACAATAGACAAAGCATCGTGCAGCCTTCGGCAGACTGTCACGGGTGGCCACGTGCTGGTCACCCGTGACCGGCCGACCGACCGGGTCGGATAAATTCGGTCACTGGTGTCGGTGGCCACGAGCGGCAATGGAAGTCGGGTGGTCGGGTTCTCCACAAAAAGATCCCCCCCTATAGCCTTCAGAGACTGTCTGAGCAAGTGCTGTGAGCACCTATGAAGGCCGGCACGGGACACCAGGGGGTGTGTGGCCAACACCACGCCCGTCCGCCTTTGTCTCCCTAGTGACGATGTTTTACCCTTCGCACCAGGTACAAATTTGAGGCTGGGTCGACCTAGGGGAGGCACAGGACCGGCCGTTAGTGAGAATCGAACTCGGGTCGCCGGGTTAGTAGCGCAGCGCGCTGACCGCTACACGACCGCTCCCCGCACATACTGGACAAAGACAAAGATCCCCCGTACAGCCTTAACGTACCGTTGGGCCAAGTGCTGTTAGCGAGCACCTCTGAAGGCCGTACACACACACACACACGCACGTATGTACACGACACAAAAATCCCACGCACAGGCGCGCGGACCTCTGGGGGCAAGTGCTGTCAGAGAGCACTCACCCTCTCGGCCCTGCACTGGAAGGCAATGACACGAATCCAGCGCGAGGCCCTACATCTCTGGGGGAGTTCCACATTCTAAAATGTTGACCCTCTGAGTCTGGCAATTAGAGGCATAACGTCGACTGTATTTGTGCACCAATGTAGCTTTCTAGTCCCCGTAGAACAGCGGTTCTTAACCTGGGGTGTACGCACCCTGCGGGCGTGCGAGACGTGGCCAGATTTTTTCACAAGGTAAATAATCGAAAACGCGAATTAAGCACGAGCAGGTAAGTACAACTGTTTTGTTTCATCAAACCCTACTGTATTTATTAACGTCACGTTTCAAACGACTGAGAACCAAAGTGGTGCAGGCTGCGGTAAAGATTAAGAACGTTTCATAGGATTCCCATCAGCCAGTCACGATCGCCGATTTGTACATGTTTCACTCACACAGTATACACACACAGTGCGCACAGAGTACACACAGTGCACACGCAGTACACACACGATGTTGTCCCACGTCCGACCGAATAGCCGCATGCAGAGTTTAGGCAAACCGGATAATCGAGCGAAATTTGGGTATTCGCATATACGCGAAATCGCACAAAGCGAACCCGCACAAAGCGGGGGGAAGCCCGCATTCGATGAACACGGGGCCTGAGAGACACGGGGGAACGGGCATTGATTGCGGAGCCATCATTTATGTCCGAACGCGCGAGCAATTCAGAGTCAACGAGACGCTCACCACGCTCACCACCGCTCACTGTTGACGCCGTTGTGTGCACGCGTGATTGTATCGAAGCATCGCAATGATGGGCACTGCTGCGCGAACATTGTTTGGTGGTGCAGGTGCTGCGTTGGCGGGGGTGCGAAAGCACAATTTGTGTGGCGATCGAAAAGTCGTGATCTATTGTTTTTTTCTTCCTACGTGACTTTACCGAAAGAACCAAAGAGCACGATTGAGAGTTAAAGAATACAAACCAACGCAACACATTCGTCAATAACACCGTGGCTTCAAACGTAACATATATATAACAACATATATATAATAGGCAACGTTTCGGGCAATGTGCTGTGAAAACGGACCATTGACCGAAACCTTACCAATTAAATAAGTGTTATTTTAAGGCTACAATGTTATTGAGGACTATGTTGGGGTTCTTAATTATAATGCGCCACGGTCGCGAGATGTTAACTCCCTCGCCGGGTGTGCAGGAGGTCGTTGGTTCGATCCCGAACCTGATGCCTGTATATTTTGAGTCCGCGTGTTTTCCCCCTCTTTCCACGTGGTCGCTTGGATTTTTTTTCCGGGTCCTCCGGTTTTTCCCTCCACATTAAGAATCAACGTTGCGTTGAGTGTTTGGCTGCTATAGATTACCGCGTGATAAGCCACTTCGTTGAGCTATCATTTGTGACCTGGTCACTTCAGAAAGGAAGCTCATAGCTCAGTCGGCCTTACCTGGTTAAAATGTATATTTTTAGGTTAGTTAAATTATTATGAGCGCACAGGTTCACTGGCCTTAACAGTGGGATGTGAGCTAGGACATGACCTACAGGCAATGCCTGATTATCATTGTCGATGGGGGCAGCAGCGATCACCTAAGCACATTCAATGGCGCGAGTGGCCCGCGCGTTGCGCTATGAAACAAAGTTGTAACCCATCGTACCCGAGTTCGATTCCCAGCCACGGCAAGTGATATATTCATCCGATCCTGGGGCCCTCTCGGTCACCGTTTCTGCACTGACCAGCACTGTCATACGACTTCCCTTCATCCAGCAGTGGATCGACAGAGGGCTTTGAATCATTCAGAGTTGTTTCTTTGCATGCTGACCGTGTTCACAGCCCTCTCTCTGCAGGGCATATCCTGAAACGTTGCACTCATTAAGCAAGGAGCGCCGGAGTACATCTGTGTGGTTTCTCTAGCCATGACATTGACGTCTCTATTATGGATGATATTGGTCGCGAAAGCCTACGCGTTAAAATTATGATGTTGTTGTTGACGATGTTGATGATGGTGATAAGACGCTGTAATGACAATCGAGTAGGTATGAACATAGACACAGTGCGCTCGTTGAGGAGAGTGTCCTAACAAGAGGCCACACATGCGAATTGTTGCAGCAAAGTGATGGGGATGTGCGATGAGCGCCCACCACTGCTTTAGCGTCAACAACAGCAGCAGCAGCCATGATCTATACACTGCTGGATGAAGGCCTCCCCACGCAGGCCTGCGAATTTCACAATACATCTCACACCTGCACATGAATGAGCTGATTCACAACATATAAGTAACATAAAATAATAAGCAGACAAAATAAATAGGTAGACGATACACGTCATTCATATATCTGTCCGGCCAGGTAAAACTAAAATGGAAATAATCTTTACATTTTCCAGATATGTTTTATATTTTATGCGGAGAGACAGATATTTGGAGGCATATTGTTTGCCTATTTACTTGCATAATAATACCAGTTTCACTTTACGGAAGGTAAAATAAAAACTTAGCCGAAGGCAACCAGACCAAATAACATAATTCTGTATTTAAAGAGTAATTATCTAGACCAACTCTACGTGAACTATATGAAAACACACTGTAGACTGTTATTCTTATATGCAGGGTGGCCAAAAAGCCAGCACACATAGGGTTATTTCATCTATTTTAATAATGATATTAAACCATTAAAATTGTTTATTCTTTCAGTTACATTTTTATCTATTATTCTTTATATAATTCTATTTTTTATTTATGCTGAAGAAGGTAGCTGTGATCTTTAAACAAACACTGTTCTAGATTAATTTCTAAAGATAATTCATGCATTCATATTAATGGTAGTCAGTTTGAACATTTGTTAAATTAATTAAATTGCCCGGTGTGATTATTAAAACAATGATAATAACCCTGTGTCCAAACGGATTGACCCACCCTGTACATATTTTAGCCGTTCGCAAGCACCACAATTTAGAATCTGCTGAAACAATGTGTGCATACAAGCGTACTGTAAATATAAGAGGGATGTGGGCAGAATGCAAAGGCGCAGACCCTGCAATTGCTCGCTTACGCCACTGCCGGCAGAAAGAGAGGGTTGCAGCTCTAAGAGGGGGGATGTTGTGGCCTGCTCTTCCACGCTGCCTCCTCTTGGAAGAGATGGGCGTACCGACGTTTTCACCCACCCACCCCGAACTCTGGCCCTGCCCTTCCTAAGTAGCCGTTATTCATTTTGCTGTAACAATATTGACACGTGCAGCCTGGATAGAACGTACTCGTTAGCACCTGCTGCCGCTGCCGCTACTTTTGGAGGTCCATGGGAAGGGTGTAACAGGCTACTCGGAGATTTGGAGCTTGTGCCAAGCAAGAAGACGGACTAAAATTGTTGAACGAAAACACCACTCGCTTGGCAGCCTTCGCCGCGGTTTTGTTGGCGTTTAAAAATAAAATAAAGTCTCTCGGTTGCTCACCACAGGTCACGAAAACGCCAAGCGGCCAACAACAAACAGTCGCCATAAAAAAAAACTGTTTGCAGCAATGGGTGACGCGTCAATACGGGTCTCGAATTGAGCAAGGATGTACGAACTTGGTGTGGGCGGCGGTGGGGCGGGTCAAGAGACACGATGGAATTCATTTGCAGGGTCGCGCCAGTGCGAGGGATGAAGCAGAAAAAAATGGTCACAGACAATCGGCGGATGGAGTCCCCAACAACGGCTTGGAGGAAGCGACGAGTGATGTTCCGGTGGGAAACGCAACCGTAATCATTTCCCCCGGGGACTCGCTACGGAACCTGAGATTTGGCACGATGCATGATTGCAGGCGTGGTACCTGGATCGTCACAACATAAAGGAAATATTTCAAAACGCAAACGTTCTCTCGCTGCTGCTGCTGCTGCTGTAGCCGCAGCTGTAGCATGAAATACGCCGCGGTGTACATCCCAGGTGCGCCCCCGCTCATAAATAAATGCCTAACGATCCTAATTAAGCGCCGTGGATTGGTGCCAAAGCAACGTTCCTCTCTCACAATGCGCGGGGTAGTCTGGCGCACTGGCGCTGAATAGGGGGGTGGGGGGGAGAGGAAAAAAAGTTCAAGAGCAACAAATACATACATACATTTATATTCCCCATATTCATCATAAAGGTATTTGGGTTAGATCGCGTTATTTATAAATGTGTCGCGACCCTCCAGCATCCAACACGGCCAATCTGTAAAAAAAGTGTCACGTTGACAAAAGACAAATAGTTCACTACTCTAGCCCACCGGTGTGTTGACGAGTGGATCCACAACATTTACTATTTGAGTAGTACGCCGTTTTCGCTGGAAATTCTATTCGTGGCCTGCACTGCGAGAGATTACAGCCTCGGGTGACTAAACCTCACGAAGCTCATACACCCAACAGGTTCTCTCGATCGCCACGAACAGAGCAGCCGTGTCACGTGCGTCCCACTACGCTCGCGTGAACGCGTCCGTTGGCACCCGTGCACAATGTTACCCGAACTCATTGCTGTAGAACCGCTCTTTTGTCTTTTACGTTGGCTGTCCTTCCCGATTCATCACTTCCAATTAGCACGGTTGGCTACGTACGGTGCGAAAGAAGTCCAGCATGCGCACACGCATTATCCGCTCGGCCATTCAACATACATGCCGATGTTGAGTATCCATAATACAGGGTTTTTTTATGGGGGGGGGGCGGGTTAGATCGCGAAAGACTCCTACGCGTTGAACTATGTCGAGTGTGTCACGTGGGTGGAGCGGTGGCGCAGTGGTTAGCGCCACCGCTGCACCCACGAAACGAAGCCCACACTCACTTGATTCGTTTTCGCCTCATCGCTTCAATCGACAAGGGACTGTTAATAATTAACTACTGTGTGTGTATACATATACTGTAGAGCCGCTATTCAAACCTAGTTCATATTTTATTTTCGATGTCATTTGCATCGTGCCGGTCGCATTTATTTTCCTACACTGCGACGCGAGAGCACGTGATCTGCGCGTCGTGTGCGCGTGGGTAAACCACGTGTCGCATCTACGCGCATTAGTTTGCATGTGTGCTTTATGTATATGAAACACGTGGAGAGCTGTGACCCGAGTTCGATTCCCCCCTCACGGCCAACCGCTCCTGAGTCCTCCCCCCAGGGTCGACTCAGCCTCAAGTGAGGAACCTGCTGCGGTGTGTAAGCATCTCCACTGGGGAGACAAAGGCGGTCGCGCGTGGTGGTGGCCACCCCACCCCACGTGTGTGCCGTGCCGGCCTTCATAGAGGTGCTCGCTAGCAGCACTTGCCCCAAAAGTTTGTTCAGGCTACATGGGGAACCTTTGTTTGTTTCATATATATACAGTATATAACATGAAGTCGGAATTAAAGTCGGCGTTGAACCATGGTATAAAAGTCGACATTCAAACGCGACAGCGGTTATTGCGTTGTGCGTGCGATATCTCTCACACCTGACGAATGCGAGCACCAGTTCTTCACGGGAAGGCCTCACTTGAGCTTCGATGTTCACGGCGTCATCGATAAACATCGATTAGAGGCCCATACTTGAGCAGATGCTCGAGGCTTGCGACTTCTTACCGCCGACTGAGTCGCCGTGAATTATTTATCGTCCGTTCCCTCTCGGCGCTTTTCTTTTCCTTCCCCGTTCCTTTCGCTGCTGCCAACATCCCGCTTGTTTTTCGCGTGGCAAGTCTGTGTTGGAGCCCTCTTTTTAGCACCCACTTCACTGGGCTGCTGAAGCCAGCACCGAGAAACGTGAAGGCATCTGGGGTTGTTCGTGTTTTCATGGGGGAAAAAAATGGCCGTTACTCACGGGACCAAACTAATACCATTTACACATTTTTTTCATATTTATATAATTTATTGCTATCGCGTGGTCATGAATTCCCTGAATGTGTTCTTTCCTTGCGGGGGGGGGGGGGGGAGAGAGTCCAGAGTACTCGGCTTGGGGAGGCCTTCATCCAGCAGTGGATTGACCACGACTGATGATGCCAAAAAAACTAATTTCTTTAGAACGTCTTGTTGTGTTCAGATTGCTGTTCCTCCCCCGCACCTCCGATTAGCACGATTGGATACGTACGGTGCGACAGAGGTTCAACACACAAACATACACACCATGACGATCCATTCTTACCTTTAAATTGAGTGGTCACTTTCTCCTCATTCGATGTCTGACCAATTCCTCACTAAAATTGCTCCCCCCCCCATACCCTCCGCGCGCAGGGCCACCCGTCAGGTCTGCCCGCGGTCAGCACCTTCGTGTCGGCCTCGGGCCTCGGGCCCTACCCGAGCCAGTCGCAGGGGGGCATGGGGGCCTACGTGGCGTACGGCGGAGGGGGTGGACCGGCACCGGCCGCGGGCTTCGTGCCGCCGGGCCACGGGGCCGCGTGGCAAGCCCAGCCGCACCCCGCCGACCTCTCGTCGCCCGCGCACTTCAAAGCGGCCGCCGCGGCCGCCGTCGCCGCCGCGGCGGCCGCAGCGGCCGCGAGAGACGAGAGAGGAGCGGAGGCGTTGGCGCCGAGGAAGTCCTGAAGAAGCCCCCCCCCCCCCCACACTCACACACACCGCCTCCCCCCCTCGTCCCTCCTCCCTCCCTACCTCCCTCCGCTCGGCACAAGACGACGTTGACCGCGACGGCGCTTTGCGGGGACTCACCGGGCCGTGCGTGGCCCGCGGGCGCGTCACGTCCGTGCCGCGCTCGCGTCCACGCGCGGGCCCCGTGGATTGTGGCCGTCCTGCGGGAGGGCTTCGCGCCCACGGCGTTTGGCGTTGACCGGGTCGCGTTCACAAAGCGGTAGACGGCGAGAAGACGACGCCGTGACGTGGCCTCTCTACGTGCGCGGGGGGCGGGGGGTGGAACTGCGCCCGGAGACACACGGGGCCGGAGGCCCCCCCAACCACCCTCCCCCGGTCGCCGAGCTACGAAGAGGAGGAGAAATTTGACAGGGGGGTAGTGGTGGTGGTGGGGGGGGGGGGGGTTCACATTTTATTGCTTGCACCAGGGCCCAATCCATGGCACGCACGCTGTGCGAATTCTCCGATGCAATAGCTCTAGACGTGACTCACAATCTGTCCCTGCTGCTGCTGCTGCTGCGTGAAGTTCGTAGTCGGTGGGAGGGGGGGAGACGTTCCCGGCGAGTAGCCCCCACGAGCCACCGTCGGATGGACGAGACGAGACGCGGCACGAGATGTCCTCGCGTCTCGAGTACACATTTCTTTCCGTGTTCTGAAAGAGGAAACAATAATAACGTGTACATTTTTGACAAGTTATATATTTAATTTTCTACGTTTCTGAACTAGAGTTTATATATCTTGTTGTATTGTAAGATATGTATATATTAAACAAAACATGTGGAATATTACATTGTGACCGCTGCATTTTTATTGCCATGATGATGATGATGGTGATTATTATTTGCGCAGTGATATAGTATGTCTGAACGATTTTCTTTTTACGACCTGTTGCCGGCTTCGTAAAATACGTTCCACTGGAATGTTCCCCGAGTTCATCATTGAGAACAGTGAAAGTTACGAGGCTTTGACATCACTCACTGTATTTTAACGCAGCTGCCGGTAGCCGTTATTCAACGAAATTGATAAGATACGCGCGAGTCTTAGGCTGTAGTGCCGCCTGCATTTCTAATTCTACCGCGTCGATGGTGGCAGCAGCAGCAATGCGACTCAGGGAATGAACGCCAATGATTGTAGCACTCCGCACCTCCAAGTTTGTTTGCACGGTTGGCTACGTGCGGCACGAAAGAAGTTCAACATGCATGCGTACATACCGTGTCGAGAACTGCCGACCCCGACGAGAGGGTTTCAGGAGAGAGAAAGTTCGTCGCAGATTTTCTGTTCCTCCACCGTTGATGGAACGCCGATTACACACCTGGGTTTGCTCTGCGCTCCGTAGTTTTGGTCGCATGGTCCCAAGCGCACGACTGTGGTGTGACTTCAATGTATCTCCATGCATCTATATGTGTATATATATTTATTTGGCCTCTATTTGTCTCGATTCGTCTCTATGCATCTCTGCGTGTCCCTATGGGTTTACAATATATACCAAACTGTTTTATTTTTCATTTGACCATGTAAGGCCCATTGAGCTATACAGCTCTTTTTCAGAAGCGACATGGCCACAAAAGATAGCTCAACAAAGTGGCTTATCATCACGTGGAAATGTATAGCAGCCAAATACTTTAAACGCGTGTGTTCCTACATGTGGAGGGGAAAACCGGAGAAAAATCCACGCGACCACGGGAAAAACTCCAAATATACAGGCATCAAAACACGCACACTCCAAACATACAGGCACCCGAGGTTGGGATCGAACCCACGACCTCCTTTATACCAGGCGAGGCAGTTAACATTTCACCACCGCGGATTCATAGTTTGGATTGCATGACTATAGTAAGTGACTAAAAAACAACACGGTATTGTGCGGATTTTATAAGACACTCCACACATGATAGACGTACCCCCAAAGCTGTGCCCCGCTGTCAAAAGAGTGCTACAGATCTGATAAAAGACAAAGATCACCCGTATAGCATCAACAGACTGTTGGGGCAAGTGCTGTTAGCGAGCACCTCTGAAGGCCGGCACGGCACACATGGAGGTGGGTGGCCAGAAACCACGCCCGCCCGCCTTTGTCTCCCTCGTGGTGATGTTTTTACACACCGCACCAGTTACTAATTTGAGGCTGAGTCGACCTAGGGGAGGCCAGGATCGGTTCAGATAATCGTCACCGGTGTTGGCCGTGAGCGGGAATTGAACTCGATTGGCCGGGTTCATAGCGCAGAGCGCTAACCACTACACCACCGCACTCACGCATGGAAACGCACACAGCTACCGGATTATAGGATGCACCCGCGACTTTTCCTTTCAAATTCAGGGGAGGGGGTAGAAAGGGGGTACAGCGGCATTCGTATTATAATCCGGAGAATAAAGATGTGTTACGGGGAACCTTCATAACTTAATTGAATACCAATTGTGTGAAATTATCAAATTGATACTCAAATTCCAGTTATGATGGGCTTTTTTCATCGTACATTCGAATAGTAATTCAGATTTGTTTTAATAGGTATCTGAGTTAGAGCTCAATTTTTACGTACTCGAACGTTTTGTCATAAATCCGGGACCTCCCCCCCACCCCCCCCACCCCACGCCCGCCCCCCACCTTGAGCTACCTGGGGTACATTTACCTCTGCCAGTGCTGTAAGTTCGCTTCGCGAAGCCCCCTGCACGCAAAGTTCCCCTGTGCGTGGTTGAACACCGCGAAGGGGCAGCGTTCTAACCGGGTGGGGTGTGTGGGGTGGACACCGCGGCGCTAACCCAGCGTGCCTCAACGCCAGAGAAGAACCCTGAGAGCCTGCAGACTGCTCTTGGAATTCGCCTTTTCGGTTTATTTTACGAGTCCCCCGCACCCCCCCCCCCCCCATCTCTCTCTCTCTCTCTCCGTAATGACCATAAAGGCGACCGCGAAGGCATTAACCACGCGGATATATCTCGTGGTACCTTTTTTTACGTCTTTTTTGCCGGCCAAATGCAGCTATTCTGACAATTGTTAATGGCCGGTCGTAATTTTGCAGTAATATTCGTGGCCGTTCCTGCTAACGAAGGCAAGACTTACGATTGGGTGACCGGACTAGTTAGCCTCGCTCTGCTGATGAGACCCAGAAGGTTGAAACCGGTCCAGAGTTTGCTTGGTCCGCAGAGCCTATTGGCTGACCGGCTAAATCGAAGTTTGTTCTTTATATGTGGCGACACGTAACCTGAATGGTGTTCTGCTTGTACTGTGCAATGTGTTGGTATATATGTATAGGGGTCCCATGGTGTTCACGGAGAGACCTTGCCTATACCTCCAGCTAGCCCAGCGGCCTTCTTTTTAAGACCGCAACCCTGCTGATGAGATTAAAATAAGTCAAAACCGGACCACGTGTTTTCTTTTTCTGCTTAAGCAGATGCTGGTATAAAACATTGTTCCAGAAGTTAAATCGCGCGAGAGACTTAAACGCGCAACATCGTCATTATCATCAGCAGCCACGATCAATCCACTGCTGGATGAAGGCCTCCCCCATCCCTTACGGTCCCGCTGTGCAACAACAAACTCGGCACTTGCACACGAGCTCACTTCGTTTCTCCCACCGTTCCTAAGGGTACGGCGAATCGGGGTGACCGTCCCGGGCCCCGCGATTTGGAGAGGGGGGGGGGGCGCTTCGATGTCTCGGTGGTAAATGTGATACTTCCGGTGAAGTTTGAATGCGTCGATGGTGGGGGGGGAGGGAACCCACACGGTGTGAGGTTTACCCCGGGCCCCGGCGAATCACGCGGCCCCGCATATGCCTCCAGGTAACTGTGAAAAGTTCAGCACTCTAGGGAGCACACAGAGTAAACCTCCTAATATTCCGTTGGCATAAATCAAAGTAATGATCAACTTTTAAGCTACGACCAAAGGCGTATTGGCTCTTATCCCGGGCGCTTTGTTCAGCCAATCAGAAGCCCACATTCTAAACCCTCCCAACCAGTGCCGGATGAAGCTAGTGCGGGGCCTGGAGCATATGTTATAAAGGGGCCCTAAATAATAATAATAATAAAAACAAATTAATATTAAAAACACAAATGTTTTACTTACATAGTAAAGTAATTGTATTTTTTAATTTGCTATACAGCCAGATAATACGACAAATCGCTAACCTTAAACACCCGGTCGTTCATAAAAGTTGAAGGCAGTCTAGTACTATAGTAATAGAGCAAGTGCAGAATCACTGAACCGGAATTGATAGCTTGCAAGCATTTAGCGCGGGGCCCTTAAAAGTGCGGAGCCCATAGCTACATCTGTAGCTACTTTTGCTACGAGGATAACCCGGCACTGCCCCCAACGCGTCTTCTTCACTCGTGGTCTCCAAAATAATGTAGCCCCCAACAGACGCATCTCACGAGGATCTCAGTCCAGCCCAGGGCTCATAACAGCCACCACTGGGTGAAGCATTGAGTATCTGGTGATGTGGGCATTTTTTGTTCTTCACTTTTTCCTAAGAGAAGCACACCGCGTGATTCAATCACGTACAATTTATACGGGACGTGTTGCCGATTTCGGAATAATGTATACATATATAATACAGGGTGCTTCAAAAAAAGTTGTTAACACTTGTGAGAATTTGCAACAATGCCACAATAAATGTGCCGCCGCCTCCGGGCTCTGGAGACCTCCTGGAGAAGATTCCAGGCGTAGCGTTGACAACAATGATGGCGAACAAGTGGGAGACTCTTTGAATTTTTTAAGCTATTAAAATTACATTCGTTATCATGTCACAGTGTATTATCCGTTCTTTTCCCATTAAAAACGATAGTCCCATATAAGTTTTAACATTTTTAAAGCACCCTGTCGCTATAGTGTCTCACAAAATTCGGGTCAATGATACGTTTTAAATGATCCGAAATTAGTACCTCAAACGAAATGGCATCACGTATATTGCATCACTTACCACTTTTCATTCCAAAACTCGGCGTCACGTGCCGTCGGACGAAGTGTGGGTACTTACAGCTCTTCCAAGGCATCAGAAAAAGTGTGGAAGAGTAGGCCAACTATCCCCCTGGAGGAGTTCTGAGTAAGCTCCCTCTAGTTGGCGGCCTTCCGCCAGCAGTGGCGTGAGCAAGCAAATTGCAGGGCCGCGCCTGTACCTTGTATTGTAATCATTAACCAAACGGCTCCATTTAAATCCTGAGAAGTGTGTTTTCAATGCAAGCACAGAGATAACTGCGTTAGGATAAACGTTCTGTGCCGTACAGAAATCAACGTCTCGCCCGAAGTAGCAATGCTAGGACAACTGCAATCGACTTGATTCTGGTATTTTATTAAGCTGTTAGGCACTTTATTACTTGAACAGAATATATTTTTTAAAAGCACAATTTTTCACGCAAATCATTTAAATTCAGTCTGATAATTAAACATCGATCTTATTCTGAAAAAAATATATATTGAATATCTCCATTGCATTTAAAAACGATAAAATTACACACTCAGAGTAACGTCCACTGCATTTGGGACTAAGAAGGATGCAATATCAAGTTCACAATTTATATTTTAGTCCAAGGATACTCGGGTCGGAGGTTATTTGCATATGACCCACCGACCAACTGCAGGAAGAGATGAACAACTAGGTTTAACACCTGAGCAGCGTGGTGGAATAGTGGCGCGGTGGTGAGCACACTGTGCTCAGAAATCCAGCAGCCTTGAGTTCAATTCCTGGCCACAAACAAACATCATTGGCGAATATCTGAATCGGTCATGTGACACCTGTTCACTAAACCGCAACTAACCAGCTCTTGATTTAAAGCTTTCGTGACTGCAGTAATTCATATTCTTAGTTCTTTCGGTAAAGTCACGTTGAAGGGAAACAACAAAATAATAAAATATATATAAAACAATACAAATTCTCACGACGTTTCGACCATAACACAAACGGTCGAAACGTCGTGAGAATTTTTATTGTTTTATATATATATTATTTTGTTGTTTCCCTTCAACGTGACTTTACCGAAAGAACTAAGAATATGACCAGCTCTTTTTCACACATGTCCAGGCCACGCTGGTGGCGAAGTATGGCAAAATTACCTCTATAACTAACATGGCATAAAAAAAGGCCTGGACATGTGTGAAAAAGAGCTTCATAGCTCATCGGATTTTCTCCAGGATAAATAAAGATTCTGATTCTGAAATTGACACAAGGTCTGTATATTATTATTATCACTACCTGATTGAGGAGCTGTATGTGCATGTAACAAATGAGTTTACAATGGTGAATGTTGCAGGCAAGGTCGTTCGAAGTTGCATAACAAACTCCGACCACCATGAATACTGTGCAAAGAGCCAGTGCGATTAGCTGTTTACACACACACGCACGTGCACGCGTATGTAGCGCTTAAAACCTGCTCAATCACCGTAGCTGCCAACATATTCTGCAAGTATAATAATGGGGGGGAAATTTGTGTTCTTTTTTATTTTAGTAACCCGGGACGATTCGTCGATAAGGTGGATGAATGGAATAAAAATTGACAGACTACTTTTTGTTGCGGTCGAGGAATCGCGGAGGGACCCCCCCACCCACCCCTACAAGCCAGCTGATTATGCCGCCGACTTCACCAAGCCACGCCCAGCACCTCCCGCCCAGCGGCACGCGTGCAAATGGAGACGAGACATATCTCCCGCCTCCCATCTATTTTCCGCGTTTTACCCGCTTGGTCGAGCGATCGGCACCGATAATCGGTAGCGTGATCCACCGACGGCTCATGCAGCCTCCTTCCCCGTGACGTTTTGCTCCGGCAAGAGCGGACGGTGGCGGACGAAGGCCCGCCCGCTGGGGGGGGGGGGGGGGCGGGGTGAGCCCATTCGAGCAACGCCGGTCCCTTCACCGCGGGGTTCCTTTTCGTTTTCTTTGCCTTCTTCACGACTTAAGCGCAGAGCACGAGCGGACACCGCGTTCCAAGATCGAGAAATTCCGACCCGGCGCGAGGGGAGCGATTTGCGTGTTTTTGTGGCGAAATTTTTTTAAAAAGCTCAACAAATCGTGACCGGTTGAGTTCCCGACGGGACATCTTCCAGACGGCGTTCTGTGCGGCGGCGAACCAGCAGCTCGCTCCGAAGCGATAGACGGTGCCGTTCAAAAGGGAGGGGGGGGGGGGGGTGGGGGAGTTAGAGACCTACGCGCAAACTCCCCACATGGAATTTCGCGGCCATGCCGACCACCCCCCCCCCCCACCTCTTAGCTCCGTGCGCTCGGAGCTTCTGTCGGGTAAACAGGGACGGCTCCCGACGCCGGGTTGCGGTCTTGTGGGGCGCGAACGACGGACGTCGTCACCCAAACAACAACAACCACAACACCACAACACCACCACCACACCGGCACAACCACCCACCCACTCCCCAACACCTCCCCATGCGAAACCACATGGTAGAGCTGTACCGTGCGACCACGCGTGAGCACAACATCCCCAGCCACAGTGCATTCCCGCACAATCTCGACTCTTTCAACGAACTCGAAGGGTTAAGCCAAGCGACGGGGGCGGGGGGAGGGGGGCGGCGAGGTTGCAAGTCGTCAATTACGCCAGCGGCAGCAGTTGGAGTTATTGCAATGTCTCCGAGTACGCTGTTAATTGCGAGATCCCGCTGCCCTGTGGCGGAGCCGCTAAGCGTGCGGGTGCACCGAGTAATTGGGCGGTCGGATGTCATTGGGCCATCTGTCCCGCAGCAAATGTCAAGTGGAGCAGATTCGATCGATGCAAAGCATTTCTTTAAAAAAAGAAAATGCAAGCACCCACCGCCGTCTCTCTCCGCGCATCTGCGATATGGCGCAAATTCAACAATGGGGAACTGCGTGCCAAGGCTTTGACCGACGCGATTCCTTGACCTTCGTGGTTTGTTTAAATATAAAAAAATGATCTTTCGTGAGTATTTTTGTTCATTTAATTTATATTGCCTATGGCAGCTTGCTTTGTTATTTTAAACTAAATCTGAATACATTCAAAGTTTTGGGCATTAACGTAATTTATTCATTTCCTGAGAACTGTGTTTTTTTTTGTTTGTTGCGTTGGGTTCAGTTGTCCGTTCTGCCGCACCTCCGATGAGCACGGCCGGCCACGTGCCGTGCGAAAGGAAGAGTTCACCGCACGTATGTAACTTGCCATCTCGTGTGAAAGCGCTCCGAGGCACCTCTATCGAGACGCGAGTTGCACGGCGTAAATGATGAAGATTTAACTGCACGCCCGCTCGGCGCGGGGGGTCGGGCACAGAGGGGCCACGGCCCCAGCACTGCCAAGAGCGGGGGCGAGGGGACACACGAAGGAGACAGATCGCTCCACGCCGCCACCGACGCCAACGCCCGCTTCAATCGCTGTCTGTCGTAACATCTCAACCGCGTCCGACAGCGGCAACGCGCAGCCTCTATCCACCCCTGTTCTTCTTCGTCCCTTCCACCACCCCCCACCCCGGAACCTCCGTTTGGCACGGTCGCCTACATAACGGTGCGAAAGACATTTCAACGCACGGACGTACGTGCGTGTGTGCGTGTGTATGTACCATTGTTTTCTTTTTTAGCTTTGAAGGACTCGTGGAACAAAGTGCGCTTAAATAATACCGGTTCAACCTTTCATTAATTTCACCGTTGAGCCGCCCCGGTCACGGCGAGCGAGCGAGTGAGTGAGCGAGCGCGCGCTTATGCCGGAGTTCGGCGAAGACGCTCGATATCTCCCCCCGCTCCCGCCGAGCGTCGCCGGTGCCGGGCGGTGGTGGTGGTGGCTTGGAGACCTTCACCAGTTCACCTGGAGCCAGGCGAAGGCGTGCTCGTATACCAGCAGCATCACCGCACCCCCTGCGTGCGAGGCAGGACAGAGGCGCATCAGTGTCGTTGGCATCGAACGAAATATATACGTAGAAAAAATATAATTATTGCACAATGGAGTACTAAAACATGTCCGCGTGCTGTGCAGGAGGATCGTTGCTCCGAAACGTAGCCTAGCGTATACGTATGTTTTCCATTTAAAGCCCACAGCGTTATTGACGAATGTTGCCGTGTTTGTGGTTTGTGTTTTTTTTTTTTAAAACGACAATAGACCGTGGTTGTGAACTCTAAACCATGGACCCATTCCTAACTTGGCACTGCCCCCAAGTACATGCGCGTGTCTAATGGCGGTGTGGTTTGGGCAGGCCTATCTGCAAAAATCACTAAATCTCGGACAAAGCAACTGATTGGCTAAATCGCTGGCAACAAATAGTTGGTCCAATTGAGCCGCAGGAAAGATGGAGACGGAGGGCACCATGAGATACACTGCACGGTAGGCGCAGTGTAAATAAAAAAAACAATGACGGTGACGACGATAAGAAATGAGACTTTCCAACTCCGTTTGGCGGGTAGCACGTTAACGGGCAATGACAGGAAGTATAACGAGGGCTGACCTTTACCGCGCTCTTGCGGTGCCTGGTTTCCTCCGGCGAGCGCAGGAACGCAGGGAACGCACGTGCACGTGGGCACGGAACGGCGAACCGAGCGTGCGTATGGAGCAGGGATGAAGAGGCCCCTGCCACGGTTTGTCTATGATTGTTAGATGGTCGCTAAGGTTCAGGTCACTCTTGCCAACCGGGCTATCGTGGTTACGCTAGTTCAACGAAAGTACACCTGAAGCCTGAACTCGAGACGAGCGATGTCACCGGCTTCAACTGCGTGAGTTTCAATGTCGCGTTGAAAGAAAGACATAAAAAAAAACACTCGCGGGGCTTTTGAGCTGCCAGCTTTTTTTTGGGGGGGGGGGGATATTTGGTTATTTTGAGTTCACAACTTGTCATTGCACGTCGAGAAACATTAGGCGGCTATGTTAATAGCGGCCTCGTGTTTAAAGGGGGGGACTCTCGCCGTCTCAATGCCCGCGCCCGATGAAACTCGCGCTGCCCACGCGGTGCGATTAATGCGCGGTCGCGCCAGATCCATCACCGGCCACTCCCACAGTGGCAGTGGTCAAGAGACCAGACGTCAAAGAGTTCATGCCACGAGGCGGTATGACTAGAATAATAATGATAATAATAACGCTCGCACTGAATAGTAATCATGGCACCATGCCAACTCCGGTCATCCTCGCAGCAGCGGCAGCAGCGGCAGCGGCTTTTTGGCTGCCCATCCGGAATTCCCTTCCTTCCGATGTTAGGAAGCCACTGGAACTGTGCACTTGCAAATAATCGAGAGTGGAAACTCATTTCTTTAGAACTGCTTTTTTTGCGTTTAGTTTGATGTCCTTCCCCCGCACCTCCGACTAGCACGGTTGGATACGTACGGTGCGAAAGAAGTTCAACGTACATGTATGAGAAGAGCTTCGCCGAGCCTCTGGACTCTTTTACTGCCGGTTCGATCTTGCTCACTGCAGTACTCTGGTTTCTTCTGCACGTGAAGCCGAACGTTATGCTAATGAATAGTGGCGTTTTGGAAAAATCGATCCACTGCTGGATAAGGGCCTCTCAAACGCTCAATGCTCCGCACAGACGCCGGGCGGATTGTTACCATGTACATTTTTTTTTCATATTTATAGAATTTATTGCAACCGTGTGGTCATGAATTCCCTGAATGTGTTCTTTGCGGGGGGGGGGGGAGAGTCCAGAGTATTCGGCTTGGGGAGGCCTTCATCCAGCAGTGGATTAACCACGGCTGACGATGGTGCGGTCGGGATTATTTTACAAACAGGTAGGGGGACTCGGGAGCGTGAGTGGAATTTCCTTCCTCTCAGCACCGACTCAACTAAAGTATAAACTTTGATTTAAAGCTTTCGTGACTGCAGTGATTCATATTCTTTGGTTATTTCGGTAAAGTCACGTGACTTTACCGAAAGAACCAATAATATAAAGTATAAACTATTTTTTTTTATTTTAACAGGTAAGGCTCACTGAGCTAAACAGCGTTTTGTTCAGCAGCGCCCTGGCTACAAATGAGAGCTCAACAAAGAGGCTCATCACGTGGAAATGCATAGCAGCCAAAAACTCGAAACGAATGTCGATTCTAAATGTGTAGGGAAACTACGAAGGACCCGGAGAACAATCCACAATACCATGGGAAGAGTGAGAGAGAGACACGCCAACTCGAAAGACACGCAAACTCGAAATATACAGCAGGCGTCAGGGTCAGAATCGAATCCACGACCTCCTGCATATCAGGCGATGGAGTTAACATCTCACTGCCGATAGCCGTGGAAGCAAAGGAGAGGAGCAGCACTCTGAGTTTGCTCTCCCCGGGGCTCAAACCCAACGCTCTCTCTCTCTGTCTCTATATCTGCCACCGACACGCAGCACAGTGTAGGTGGCACGTGGGTTTAACGGAGAACCCATTCGCCTTCCTAGATTTGGCAAGTAATTCCGTTTTTTTTTTATATTTCTCGGCGCAAAAACATTGTCGGCACCGCTATAATCCTTAACTTATGACTACGCTGTCAGCGGGTTGACAAATGTGGTTTCTGCTGACGCGCATTTCACGCATATTTTTCTGGCTTGCCCGAGTGGTGATTATATAAATGTATTGCATTTTAGCACCGTGCAAGAGACCCACGATGAAAAAGGGAGCCCGATTATTTTTCAGCTGACGTTTTGGCTGTTCTCTCCCCCCTCCCCCCCCGCCGAGGCTAGCACCTGACGGACACGCATGCACGGTCGTAACGGAGGCCCGCTCAGATTCGCTTTCTCATTCGAGAGGAAAAAAACAGTTGTGAATGCGAGTATGACACAATAAATAAATAGACACACACACACACAACCGCGTGGTTGCCGTGTGCGCGTCTTCTGGGTTGTGCTGGGAAGCCACCGGCGACAGAGCGGAGCGCCGCCTTGGCTGGAGGAGGCGGATGTTTGTTTTGCGTTAACGACGGATTCATTTAGGGGCCATCCATTCAGTGCACACGCATGGAGGGGGGAGGGGTTAACCCAAATGCGTACGCTTGCGAATGGGGAGGGGGTCTATTGACAATGCACGCATAGGAAAGGGGGGGGGGGAGTGGTGAAGCCTCGATAATAATTTGTCTACATCGGCCTTGAAATGAGTTAGATAGTCCGGCGGTGGACTATCTGTTTGCTTAAACACGTTAATATTATTAATCCCTGATCGTTTCTGCGTGGATTAAATATGGGCCGTTCTATAGGATTCGGATGAGGGGGGGGGGGGCGGGTGCGTCAGGCTGTACGTACGAAGGTGGGGGGTGGGGGGTGTAAAAAGTCCGCGTGAGTACAGGGAGAGGTTCAAGTTTTGACAGATTTTTGCGTGCCTACTAAATGTGTGGCCCCTTAAGGGTTGTCGGCGATGTGTTCGGCGTGACGGCACGGCACGTTGCGGCCTCCCCCGTAACCGAACGATCCAGGAGAAAGGAACAAACACAATTGCCGGCGCGTTCTGGCACGGCACACGGCGTGAGCCGCGACTACCGCTCAACGCGAGCTACAACTTCGGATGACATGTCTCCGAATGCTGTTTTCTTTATTTATTTTTAAATTGTATTCCTATCTCTCCGTACGATTCAAGAGATCAATCGCAACCCAGTATCAATCCACCAACCGATTGAAGGGCCTCACCCACGCCATGTCGGTCACGGGGTATTGTTGTTGTTGTTGTTGTCACTCACCATACTTCACCACGCTGGTCAGGGCGAGTTAGCAGGGTGGGTGTGGGAGGGCCAAAATGGGTTCCGATGTCCCTTTGGTTGTGAGTCGCGGTCGGGAGTCGAAACTCGGGCCGCTGCGTTCACAGCTAAACCGCTGTGGAAAGCTCAAAGCGCAACTGCCCAGTCTTCTTCTTCTTCTTTCGTATAAGCTGCTTATATCCAGCAACAAACTACAATCTCACGTGCAGCTGGTCAAGCCGGAGAAGCGCGTCAGGAGCAGCGGAGAGTTTAACCGTCGCCGAGAGTGTCTCCTTCGTGTCTGTGGGTCGGGGAATTGCGTCGTTGTACGTTGACGCGTCTCTTCTGGGTGACCAGAGGGGCACGCGGACTGGAGAGTTTTTCATTGTCCCTGTTGTGCATCGGGTATCCGCGTCCGCAGCCATGGCCTGTGCAGCGGAAGCGATTGAGGGTGAACCGCGAGCTGCTGCAACGGCAAAGCCACGCTGGGGCAGGATGGGCAGCCCGCTTACCTGGCCCGAGTCGCATGACCTTTGGCAGCAGTCCCTTGTACAACGCGAAGTACCTGCGCAGAGGGCAAGAAGCAACGATAAGCGAGTGCAGCGCAGGGATTACGAACATATACGCGTGTACAGTGAGGGAGAAAAAGTATTTGATGCCCTGCTGATTTTGTACGTTTGCCCACTGACAAAGAAATGATTGGTCTATCATTTTAATGGTAGGTTTATTTGAACAGTGAGAGACCGAATAACAACAAAAAAATCCAGAAAAACGCATGTCAAACATGTTATAAATTGATTTGCATTTTAATGAGGGAAATAAGTATTTGACCCCTCTGCAAAGCATGACTTAGTACTTAGTGGCAAAACCCTTGTTGGCAATCACAGAGGTCAGACGTTTCTTGTAGTTGGCCACCAGCTTTGCACACATCTCAGGAGGGATTTTGTCTCACTCCTCTTTGCAGATGTTCTCCAAGTCATTAAGGTTTTGAGGCTGACGTTTGGCAACTCGAACCTTCAGCTCCCTCCACATAGGATTAAGGTCTGGAGACTGGCTAGGCCACTCCAGGACCTCCATGTGCTTCTTCTTGAGCCACTCCTTTGTTGACTTGGCCGTGTGTTTTGGGTCATTGTCATGCTGGAATACCCATCCACGACCCATTTTCAATGCCCTGGCTGAGGGAAGGAGGTTCTCACCCAAGATTTGACGGTGCATGGCCCCGTCCATCGTCCCTTTGATGCGGTGAAGTTGTCCTGTCCCCTTCGCAGAAAAACACCCCCAAAGCATAATGTTTCCACCTCCATGTTTAACGGTGGGAATGTGTTCTTGGGGTCATAGGCAACATTCCTCCTCCAAACACGGCGAGTTGAGTTGATGCCAAAGAGCTCCATTTTGGTCTCATCTGACCACAACACTTTCACCCAGTTGTCCTCTGAATCATTCAGATGTTCATTGGCAAACTTCAGACGGGCATGTATATGTGCTTTCTTGAGCAGGGGGACCTTGTGGGCGCTGCAGGATTTCAGTCCTTCACGGCGTAGTGTGTTACCAATTGTTTTCTTGGTGACTATGGTCCCAGCTGCCTTGAGATCATTGACAAGATCCTCCCGTGTAGTTCTGGGCTGATTCCTCACCGTTCTCATGATCATTGCAACTCCACGAGGTGAGATCTTGCATGGAGCCCCAGGCCGAGGGAGATTGACAGTTCTTTTGTGTTTCTTCCATTTGCGAATAATCGCACCAATTGTTGTCACCTTCTCACCAAGCTGCTTGGCAATGGTCTTGTAGCCCATTCCAGCCTTGTGTAGGTCTACAATCTAGTCCCTGACATCCTTGGAGAGCTCTTTGGTCTTGGCCATGGTGGAGAGTTTGGAATCTTATTGATTGATTGCTTCTGTGGACAGGTGTCTTTTATACAGGTAACAAGCTGAGATTAGGAGCACTCCTTTTAAGAGTGTGCTCCTAATCTCAGCCCGTTACCTGTATAAAAGACACCTGGGAGCCAGAAATCTTTCCGATTGAGAGGGGGTCAAATACTTATTTCCCTCATTAAAATGCAAATCAATTTATAACATTTTTGACACGCGTTTTTCAGGATTTTCTTGTTGTTATTCTCTCTCACCGTTCAAATAAACCTACAATTAAAACTATAAACTGATCATTTCTTTGTCAGTGGGCAAACGTACACAATCAGCAGGGGATCAAATACTTTTTTCCCTCACTGTATGCTGAACTACTTCCATACCGTGTGTAGCCAACCGTGCTAATCGGGGTCCTTACCGGGGATGATGTCGTGGCTAGCACACCGGACCTTACACTTCACAGGCCGCCAGTTCAAGTGAGAGCTACAGTCTCTCTCCGCCCGGCAGTGTAAGTGGGTAGACCACCGTGAGTTGATCGGCAGGTCGAGTGGGGTGGGGTAAAGTTTGGGATACTCCCACCTATTCCGCGTGGAAAAGTAGGCCAAAAAATGCGTTCAAGAGGCACTGCCCAGTGCTCGCTCTCGTGGAGGCCCTTACGCCGGCAGTGGCTTGAGCAGGCAATTGCAGGGACCGCACCTTTAACTTTCAATCCGAGCCCTTGCAACTCTTGCTCTGTAGTCAACGCTCAATTGTCCATGGTAATTGGAGGCCACGGGTGGGTCGGATAAACTAAAAAGTGAGAATGCAAGGCGAACGTTCATTATTATATCAGACGTCTTCAATGCGGCTATGGTGTACGTACAGCCCATTCTCAATCCACTGCTGCATGAAGGCCTCCCATCCCGAGTGGATCGCGGGAGCTGTTTGACCATACTTCACCACGCCGGTCAGTGCGGTTTGGTGACTGGCTCCAATCGATTTAACTCCAGAATAACAATCAGAATGTTTATTTAGACTGGAAGAAATCTGATGAGCAACGAAGCTCATTTTTTTTCCCACAGATGCTTCAGTAGGACATCGGTTCCCGAAGAAGAAGAAGGAGCTCCCAGCACGTGGACCGAAACGTCGGACGTCGCGCCGAAGCGTGCACGCGTTGCGGTGCGCGACCCGAGCGTGCACATCGGGGAGCTACGCGGCATGTCCACGGGGAACCTTTCGCAGCGCTGTCGCTGCAACACGCACAGTGTTCGTGTCAAAACCTCTCTCAAGGCCCCAAAAGGCACCTGGTTGCATGCTCCGGCACATGAGAGGGTCTCAGGGAAAGAAAAAAAAAACGCACGCACCGCCAGGCACTGCCGACGTTTGTCAACGTTACGCTACTGCAAGGGTAAGCTGCAGCGCCGACTGCATGATAACCTCGTAATGGATTGGATAATTACAGTCCTGGGTTACAAGTTTATTTCTTTTCATTCCCTCGTTCTCATTTTGGACGGTTTATGTTTTGGGTTGTTCTGTCGCTTTCCAACTACGAAAGAGGTTGACAGCGTGAATGCATTAGCTCTGTCTCTCTTTGTCTGTGTCTGTCCGTCTCTAACGCGGGGATCACGATAACCCTCGTAACCAAGGTTCAATATGAGTCAAACTGTGGTATAAAGTCCCGTGACTATTCGGGTCTCGCCAGAGAGAAAAGACCGATCACATTGATCAATGTTTTTGTTTTTTTTGCAAAACTCAGCGATAAATGGATACGCCTCTTCTGCCAAGGCGATGAGATCACGCTTCATGCGTGCGTGATGTTATGTCCGTTTACCGACCTGCAAGGCAACTCTCTTGCTGCTATTTCATATCCGCGGACGAAGGTAACGGTGGAAAGTGTCTCCAAATCCGTGGTTACGTCGTGTGATTTTATTTTTCCCACCCGTTCGAGTTGGGGATCAGATACCGGTCAGAATCTTTACGTACACCGGACGAATCCGATGAGCTATGAAGCTCTATTCAACACGATTGTCCAGGAGTATATATATATTTTTTTCTCTCTCACAGATATTGAGCCAGTAGGATCCCAGAGGCGAATGCGGGTATGCCTTACGTGGTTGGTCCAGGGCAGAAACGCGATGCAAGGGGTTATAAGTCAGGATCGTCATGACCGAATCACAGCGGGCATGAATATGTATGTTGACCTTCTTTCGCACCATACGTAGCCAACCGTGATAACCGGAGGTGCTACTTGGAGGTGTGTGTTCTCTTATCCACGTGTTCCTCTTTCTCTCTCACAGTGTAACTCCTAGCGTGCACCTTTTCGTGATACTTTGCGCGCTATTGAGCGAATTAAAAATTTAACCATTTAAAGGCAATAACTGCCATCTTAGTTCGTTGGAGTAATGCATTGTGCGCAATGAATGGTTATAACAGCTTTGACATTCTGTCTCCTGAATCTGGCCCTGAGGATAAAAACTGGGTACAATAACATTTGATGAAATTGGAAAATTAAATTTTGAATTTTATTTTTACAAACGTGAAGTAAAACAATCCGGCTAAATCAGATCACAATATCTGATCCGCGCCAGGCAAAACATCATGTTCAAAGACCCATATACTTGTGAAGCAAAAAAACAAGTAAACTACAGCATAATATAAAGTTACAAGCTAAACATAAATTTTCAAATTCATACAAATCAAATTACTTTCTATTTATTGCTATGCTAGAATCATTTATGCACTATTAGGCCCAGGGGTCTGAGACGGGATATTCATATATAAAACAATTGTTCTATATAGCAGACGCAGCTACTGCGGGTGTAATGGTTAGTCCTGTACACGGGACTTGCAATTCAAGGGTGCGAGCTCGCGTACGGTAGGGTAAAGCGTGGCTACTGCCATCTAGTCCAAGACGTTCACTGGAGATCCTCGAGAACGCCCAAGAGTGGAGGCCCTTCCACTAGCAGTGGCGTGACAACATTGCAGGGCTTGCGCCTTTACGTGCGGCTCTTTAAGGGAACTTGCTGCTTCGTGACACGATATTCATTAAGGAACCACCACCGTCTCGTATTCACCACACAGTGCATTGCGGCTATAGAAATATTGAGAGTTTTTTTTTGTTTAACGGCATTCGAAAAAATTGTGCTCTGCTTGTTATTTTGGTTGTCGACCGCTGGTTTCGAGTTTTATGCCATCTGCCCCCCCCCCCCCCCCCCACACCGCTTCCATTTACCTTCGAAAATCTCCAACTGTTGACCCTACATAGGACATATCCTACCAGGGCTTCACTCCATTTCCCCTGCTGAATATGTTCTGGGCCGCCGGTAGATCGGGTGCCACGTGACGAACACGACCAGTAAAGCCGCGTGCAGCAGCGAGAGCTTCACTGGACGTGCCACTGAACTGAGCTATAAACTAAAGTATATATATTTTATTTTATCAGGTAAGGCCCAGTACTCAGCTATATAGCTCGTTTTCAGAAGCGACCTGGCCACAAATATTGCCTCAACGCAGTGGCTTACCACGTGGGTATGTCGAGCAGCACGAATACTGTAAACGCGCGACGTTGATTCTAAATGTGGAGGGGGGAAGAACCGGAGGACTCGGAGACAAATTCACGCGACCAAGGGAGGAGAGACACCCCAAACTCCAAACATAAAGCAGGCGTCAGGATCGGGATGGAATCCACGACCTCCTGCGTAACCAAGCGAGGTAGTTAACATTTCACAGCCCACCGCGGCGCAACGGCTCCTCAATTTTCTGGCTTACCGAGCCGGACAATCCTCCAATGACGAATTCGCGAAAGAGCCGTCAATCTGCGGGTGCTCGCTCGCTCGCTCTTACCCTTCCTCCCTGTACACCGTGGCGATGGTGCCCAGGCAGGTGCGGTATTTGATTTCCCCGGGCACCGGCTGGGGGCCCTGGATGCGGCTCTTGGCCACGTCGAAGGGGATGTTGATGACCGAGCCCAGAGTCCCCGCCAGGAAGCCGATGAGGACCTTCCGCAGGAACTCAAGCCTCGAGTCCTGGCGGGGTGATGGGGGTGGAGAACGAATGGTGGTGATGTCACGCCGCTCCAATCGTGTGCGTGTGTGTACGAGTGGTGTGTACGATCGTGCACCTGGCCTGGCACAGGCGCCGTGGTGATGTCACCGTCACATCGTGTACGAGTGCGTCTGTGCGCGTGTGCGTACCAGTGCTGGGGAACCCGAGTTCGATTCCCGCTCACGGCCACCAACACCGGTGACGATTATCTGAACCGGTCCTGGGCCTCCCCTAGGTCGACTCAGCCTCAAATGAGTACCTGGTGCGGTGTGTAAACATCTTCACTGGGGGAGACAAAGGCGGCCGGGCGTGGTGCTGGCCACCCACCCCCTCCTGTGCCTTAATAGGTACTTTCCCCAACAGTCTGTTAAGGCTGTACAAGGGAACTTTGTCTTTGGTGTAGCGGTTAGTGTATTGTGCATTGAATCCAGCAAACAGAGTTCGAGTCCGAGACGCGGAAAACCTCACTCGGGAGAGATATCTGAACTGGTCGTGGGCCTCCCTAAAGTTAACTCGGCATTCAATGAGTATATGTTGCCCCTCGGAGACTACTAACCTTTCACCAAACCGCACTGCGCAGCGTGGGTGAATAATCGCGTGTAACTTGCAGTAGATGCTTAAAACGCAGCGAGCTCCAATTCCGCACTCTTGATGAAAACTCAAGTCACGGAAAGCGTCCACCAGCATCGGCACGAATATCGGAAGGTTACCAATTGAATGTATTCATCTGAAGGGGAGTGGTGAGGAATTGTGAGCCGATTTGTTTTCGCAGAGAGACAAAGAATCCCCCCGCGTAGCCTGAACAGACTGTTGGGGCAATTGGTGTTAGCGAGCAGCAGCACCGATGCGAAGGTTCGCCGGGCACGCCACGCCAGGACGCCTTTGTCTCCCCAGTGGCGATATTTTACGCATCGCACCAGGCACCCATGTGAGGACGAGTCGACGACCTCGGGGTGGGGGGGAGGCCCAGGAGCGTGAGCCTGGAATCGAACTCGGGTCGCCGGGTTCGGGGCGCGGCGCCCTGGAACCTACGCCACGCACGTGCGTTTCTGAAGACAAGTCCCGGTCACAGGATGTGCGGAGGAGAAGAGCGCACGACCAAGTGGTTTAATGCGGCCCGCGCATCGTTTTCAGTTTGATTCATTGTCAGCGGGGAGGCTTTGGCTGCACGTTTATCTCCGAACTTCGGGCACTCTCTGCCACCACTATTGACGGCTCGCGTTTGAATTCAAATCGATAGGTCCAGTTGAATTTGGGGACAGTGCAGAACTCTCTCCTAAGCAGATACAGGTTATTGATTTTGCTAGCCGCTGTGTTAATGACACTTTAGTCTCAGGAAGGTCTGAAACTTTGACAGTAATAGCCTCGCTTTAAAAGGGGAAAGCCTTTTTTTTTGGTCTAGAATTACACATCGAAATGATAACATCAGTTGCAATCTCCATTTTACTTATTAAAGGCTAATATCCTTTACAGAATGGAATGAAATGGCCTGGTCCACCAAGTGTATTTGTTTTCAAAGTTTCAGCTTCCCCCCACCCCAACCACCTCCTCCTTAACCCAGTGAAACCGAACTGCCGTGAAGGGCTTAACAAAGGCCGCCATACGCGCGGAGACCACATTCGCTGATGTTTTGTAGAAATATCCTACCAACTGGTTTTTATTATTTGCCAATTCTGCCCGGTTAGTTAGAAACCACGCAGAGGAATGTTGCGCGGTTTGACAGAGGGACCTCTATAAAGGCGAGGCGAACGCGCGCACTGTATAATGACGCGTAGCGCCAAACATCTGAGTTACTTTAAATAAGTAACATTTGCATGAACCCAGCGGTTAAATTAATTCTGGCGCTGTCACCTTTTATTTTATTGACTAACCACACTTTGTGCTCCGGGAAGATTTGTTCCTCCCTGGGTAGCCTCGTCCCCGCCAGAGAAATGTGCAATTTCCAGCACTCGTCTGCGACAACCAATGGAGAGAGACGAGCACCGCACCGGGTCTTGTTTTGAGTACGGGCACATGACCATCATAATCGTCATCAGCCGTGGTCAATCCACTGCTGGATAAAGGCCTCTCTCTAACCCCGACGTCGCCTCTCGCGAATGCTGCGATGTTTGTTGTACGTGGACACGGTTTGTTTTATTTGAACCACGGTGATCGGTGTTCATCGCGTAAGTATTTTTTTTTTATTTCGGGGGGGGGGGGGGGGGGGTGTATTGCATGGCACTTGCATTTGAAACGTAAACATTGCGCGCGATTCCGCGAGCGCTTAATCACGTCCCAGAACCGCTCGACTTATCCCCATAGCAATACGCCGAATAAATACACAATACATGCACAATAAACATAAATTACGGTTATGTATTTTCCACTCATTCTCCTCTGCTGCCCCCACGGTCTGTAACTCCTTTGCCGCAGTCGTCTGTGCTGTCGACCTTGCAGGGTTAAGAACTTCCTTCCCTCCCCTCCCCTCTGCCAATGAGTGACAGCTTCTGAAAAAAAAAACACATGCCCTCTTGTTTCTGTAACAGCGTCTGAAGATGCACCACGCTGGCGAGATGTTAACTACCTCGCCTGGTACACAGGAGGTCGTGGGTTCGATGCCGACCCTGACGCCTGCTGCTGTATATTTTGAGTTTGCATGTTCTGTCTCACCGTGGTCACGTGGATTTTTCTCCAGGTCTTCTGGTTTTTGCCCTCGAACATGCATTAAGATTATTTTAGGAACATGCGTTAAGATTATTTGACTGCTATACATTTATATACATATATCCAAGCGATCCATGTATTGTTTTGTCCCACCAACTTTGTACCCATGGTGCACCACGACAGTGGGGAGTAGAGTCGAGGATGTGACGTTTGGAGAATGAATCGGGAAAGGGGAAGACAGAAGAGAAGTTATGGGGAATTACGAGGAACAGACTGGCAAAGGGAGCTCAGAGATGATGATTGGGAGGGGCTGCACGGAGGAGGAGCGGCGTCTGTTTTCTCAGGGGGCGGCGACGGGGAGAGGGGGGTGGGGCTTCGGAGTTGGGGGTGGCCACACATAAGTCACGTGGTTGACTGGAAGCTTGAGCTGATTTAGATATGCAGTACAGCACCGTATGCACGCATGCCACGTGGCCCTATCTGCTGATTTTGTAACTCACGGATGGGGAGAAGTCAGATGGGTGAAGCAGCGACAGGGCGGTTCCCACGCTGCACTACAAACCCAGCCACCCTGGTTCGATTCCCCGAACACCGGCTAACATCAGTGGCGAGCCATATCTGAACCGGTCCCTAACCCTTCACGACCCCCCCCCCCCCACCACCACTGACCCCACGGGTGAGTGACACGGCATGGGGAAGACGGACTTCGTCCAGCAGTGGATGGCATGGCAAGATACATTGCAGGTGTAATTTTAGGGAGCTCACATCCTCGGGCGCCACGTGTTAATAATGGACCGCCGAATGCGTGTGACGTTAAACCCCAGCATGCCTGTAAGCAAGTGCTGTGGCCGATGCCCAAAGAGGCCAGCACTATTAACGGAGCAAAGGACAGAGTCATTTTTCGGCTTCATTGTTGGATGACAAGCATCACCTGCAGTTCAATACTGCCATCTAGTAACCGTCGAGCCTAACATACTGGATTCGGGATGACCGAAAAAAAGTCACAGACCGCCTCGTCTGTCTGTTCGCGCCAAAAAAACGATGCTGAAAAAGGTAACGGAGCAAGGAGCACCTCGACCGTTGAGAAATGTTAAAAGCGGAGTGAGATTTGAAAATTGGTTTGCAATTAAAAGGTTTAAAAGTCTGCAGCCTACCCCTTTCAATGGTATGCCACTGTACATCCGCGATATACATTACATGCGACAATCAGCCTACAGCGCGCAAAAGACAAAGATCCCCCGTGCAGCCTTTAGAGACGTTTGGGGCAAGTGCGGCACGTCGCACGAGGCGGCGGAGTGGGTCAACAACAGCACAGAACACGCCCGGCCGCGTTTGTCTCTCCGGCGCTGACGTTTCACACCCCCACACCAGGAGGTCCTCATCTGAGTCAACCCAGTGGAGGGCCCAGAACCGGTTCATGAAATTCGCCGTCGTGAGCGGGAATCGAGCTTGGGAGCGCAAGGTCCGTCACGTGGTGCCAGAGCCAATACCGAGCAGCTCCCGAGATCTGTGATGGTTGGTGATGGGGGATCTGTGATGGGGGATCTGTGATAGTTGGTGATGGGGGATCTGTGATGGTTGGTGATGGGGGATCTGTGATGGGGGATCTGTGATGGTTGGTGATGGGGGATCTGTGATGGTTGGTGATGGGGGATCTGTGATGGGGGATCTGTGATGGTTGGTGATGGGGGATCTGTGATGGTTGGTGATGGGGGATCTGTGATGGTTGGTGATGGGGGATCTGTGATGGTTGGTGATGGGGGATCTATGATGGTTGGCGATGGGGGATCTGTGATGGTTGGCGATGGGGGATCTGTGATGGGGGATCTGTGATGGGGGATCTCTGATGGTTGGTGATGGGGGATCTGTGATGGTTGGTGATGGGGGATCTGTGATGGTTGGTGATGGGGGGTCTGTGATGGGGGATCTGTGATGGTTGGTGATGGAGGATCTGTGATGTTTGGTGATGGGGGATCTGTGATGGTTGGTGATGGGGGATCTGTGATGGTTGGTGATGGGGGATCTGTGATGGTTGGTGATGGGGGATCTGTGATGGTTGGTGATGGGGGATCTGTGATGGTTGGTGATGGGGGATCTGTGATGGTTGGTGATGGGGGATCTGTGATGGGGGATCTGTGATGGTTTGTGATGGGGGATCTGTGATGGTTGGTGATGGGGGATCTGTGATGGTTGATGATGGGGGATCTGTGATGGTTGGTGATGGGGGATATGTGATGATTGGTGATGGGGGATCTGTGATGGTTGGTGATGGAGGATCTGTAATGGTTGGTGATGGGGGATCTGTGATGGTTGGTGATGGGGGATCTGTGATCCTTGGTGATGGTGCGATCTGTGATGGTTGGTGATGGGGGATCTGTGATGGTTGGTGATGGGGGATCTGTGATGGCTGGTGATGGGGGATCTGTGATGGTTGGTGATGGGGGATCTGTGATGGTTGGTGATGGGGGATATGTGATGATTGGTGATGGGGGATCTGTGATGGTTGGTGATGGAGGATCTGTAATGGTTGGTGATGGGGGATCTGTGATGGTTGGTGATGGGGGATCTGTGATCCTTGGTGATGGTGGGATCTGTGATGGTTGGTGATGGGGGATCTGTGATGGTTGGTGATGGGGGATCTGTGATGGTTGGTGATGGGGGATCTGTGATGGTTGGTGATGGGGGATCTGTGATGGTTGGTGATGGGGGATCTGTGATCCTTGGTGATGGTGGGATCTGTGATAGTTGGTGATGGGGGATCTGTGATGGTTGGTGATGGGGGATCTGTGATGGTTGGTGATGGGGGATCTGTGATGGTGGGATCCGTGATCCTTGGTGATGGTGGGATCCGTGATGGGGGATTGGTGATGGTTGATGATGGAGGGGGGGGGGGGCGAAAGCATACGACCACACATCTCAAGACTCGGTGGGAGCTGCCTCGGTTTTCCGTGCGGGGTTTGCAAAACCAGAAGTACCACTTCGGAGGCCGCGTGCTCAGTACACCGTACAGTCAACACGTGGCTCTCGCCACTGTACAAAGCAAATGCAATTCAGGTGCTGCGTTTGTTTCGCCGGACAAATCTCTCCACCGCCCCCCACTCACTACCCCCCACCCCCGCAGCCGCCCCGCCTCTTTTGGTGGGGCGGCTTCGGGGGGAGGTGGCTGGGAGATGTTAACTACCTCGCCTGGTATACAGGAGGTCGTGGGTTCGACCCCGACGCGTGCTGCTGTATATTTGGAGTTTGGTGTCTGTCTCTCTCTCTCCATGGTGGCGTGGATTTTTCTCCGGGTCCTCCGGGTTTTCCCTGCACGTTTAGAAACATGCGCTTAGGGTGTTTGGCTGCTCTGCATTTCCACACAGTGAGCCACTTCGTTGAGCTATCATTTGTGGCCAGGTCGCTTCTGAAAAATAACTACATAGCTCCGTGGGTACTGAGCTGGTAAAATATAAAATAGTTTAGTACAGCACAGCAACGGGCCGGTGTGATGTACTAGTGACGATTTGGCACGTTCTGTTTACGTGACAACCCTTACTAGTTGGCTGTGTCGGGTGGTGGCGGGTTTTAACGACACATTTATATATTTACGCGATCTAACCCAAAACACCCCCTCTATTTTGGATGATACTGATCGCAAAAACCTACGTGTTAAACTACATAAAAGAGTTCAGTTTGTTTTCTGTGAATGGCTCACAGAATCGGCCGCTGGCACACAAAGATCCCCCGTATAGCTTAAACAGACTGTTGGGGCAAGTGCTGTTAGCGAGTTACACCCACGAAGGTCGCACAGCACGCGAGGGGGTGGGTGGCCTGCACCACGCCCGGCCGGCTGTCTGTGTTCTCCCCAGCGGAGACGTTTACACCATCTCACCAGGTACTCATTTGAGGTTGAGTCGACCTAAGGGAGGCTCAGGATCGGTTGAGATTATCGTCACTTGTCCGGGAGCTGGAATTGAACTCGGGTCGCCACACATACACACACGCACGCACGCGCACGGGCGCAAGTGTTTACCAAATGCACGACCGTGTGTGGTGATTTCGCGGATTGTTCTCTGCACGCTCCGCTGTCAAAACACGGGTGGAAGTGGGAGCCCCAGCGACTCGACCACGGTGCCGCGCGGGCACCACGAAAGTTCAGAGGACCAAGGCCCACGGGGGGGGGGGGGGGAGGCGCGGACGCAGCCCGCGACTTCAATTCATCAGGCGCGCCATGGCCGCATTGAGACCTACTGCCACTCCGACCCGAAAAAATAATGCCGTTCATCCGTCACTGCATCGAGCATGTTAGCCGCACTAATCGGGCACTGGAGGGAAATATATACTGCATATATTTTTACCTGGCCACGCATTAATGTGTCGTGAGTGTAAAGATGAACACATCGATTACATTAAGATGCTTTTTTTATTGTGGTAATTTTCCCAATTTCTGTGAATTGTGCAATAGGCGCCACATAACTAGATTGAAGATCTATTCGCATATTGCACAGCATTGCAACTCCTTATGTTGGTCAACGGCTCACGAAAGCGGATATACCAGAGCTACGTCTCAGTTCCCTTCAAGTGGCAACGCAATCAAACTAACATGTAAATTCCTCAGAGGTGGAACTTAGCCAAATTCGTTTAAGATACAAATATGTAATGTTACAAGATTTTGCGTGCAGTTATTGGTAACCGGGCTAAGGACCATCTTACTCACGATACTTGAGGACCACAGTTTAATAATTATCAGAACACAGCTGCCTGGATTTGAACCACTGACCTCTGCAGGGCCAGCTCAGTGTTGTGACCTCTGAACCACCGCTCATCTGATTTCTCCAGTCTAAAATCACGTTTCTGTCTCTAACCACCTATTCTTGGTTCTTTCGGTAAAGTCACCACGTAGAAGGGAAACAACAAAATAATAAAAATATAAAACAATTAAATTATCACGACGTTTTGACTGCAAGAAAATTTGAAAAAAGTGGCGTTTTTTTTCTTCAAATGTTACTGCTGTGGTTTCACACCTGATGACGATTGCTTGTGTTGCAGTCGAAACGTCGTGAGAATTTTATTGTTTTATATTTTTATTATTTTATTGTTTCCCTTCTACGTGACTTTACCGAACGAACCAAGAATATGAATCCCTGCAGTCACGAAAGCTTTAAATCAAAACCTGACCACCTAGTAAAGGAAACCATTGAAACAGACGGATCGAAGAATGGACGCCGTCACCTGTTAGCAGGAGCGATGCTTTCAGATGCACTTTCGCGTCCATCTGGAACGCTCTTCCTTCCGATATTAGGAAGCCACTGGACGCTATGCACTTTTAAATCACCTTCTAGATTGAAAACGAACTTCTTTAGAACTACTTTGTTAGCGTTTAGTTTGTTGCCCTTCCCCCTGCACCGCCCTTCACCACGGTTGGCTACGCACGGGTGCAAAAGAAATTCATACGCACGCGCACGCACCTGGCTGCAGGGGACGATGTCCTTTACGTTGTGGTAGAAGCCAAAGTAGACCATGTTGAAGACTCCGTGTCGGCCTAGGGTCGCTGTCAGGCCCTTGTTGAGGCCCCGCATCCCAAACCCGTCGCGCCGAACGATTTCTCTCGCGGTCGCCCACGTCGATGGTTGCTGTGCTCGCAAACGCGGGGGGGAGGGGGGGGGTAGGGGGTAGGGGGGAGAACTCCACTGAAATTATAACTCGATGAACAATTTTCAGACGATTTGAGTCATTCGCGTTCAAATGATTCATCGTTACTTCTTCGGTAACATTTCTGAACGGAAACGGAACTGTTTTTTTTTTTTACCAGGTAAGGCCCACTGAGCTGTGTAGCTCTTTTTCAGAAGCGACCTGGCCACAAATGCTGGCTCATTCAAGTGGCTTGTCACGTCGAAATGTATGGCAGCCAAATACTCTGAACGCGCATTTCGAAATGTGAAGGGAAGAACTGGAGGGCCCACAAAAAAATCCACACGATCACAGGGAATCATATATATACGTGCATCAGAGTCGGGATCGAACCCGTGACCTCCTGTATACCAGGCGAGGTAGTTAACATCTCGCCACGGTGGCGAAATGCTAACGTTGCCTGGTGGCAGAATTGATATACGGACACTTGAACCATTAAGTAGCGAACACGCCCTTAAGAAGTCTAAAGGGTTGGCACTTCAAGAACGTGTCAATTCAAAACTTTTCAATTGTTACCTTTCTTACACTGTCCCTGTCAGGGCCCCAAAGTGTAACTTGAAATCTCCAACGACAAGTCGGTTAACCTCTCTGCCCTCCTCTCTCTCTGCTCTGAAGAAGGCCCATTGCCCAAAACGTCAGCCCATGATATATTTTTTTTGTTACAAGGCAGAGTTGATAAACGTAGCAATATATTGATCTGTGCTTGTGCACCAAATGGCAATGCATTCTCTGAATGTGTTGCTGGATTATTATTAGACTGTACGTGCAGACATTTTCGCCGATCCGCTGCTGGATGAGGGCCTCTCCACACCACGTGGGGGTCATGGGGGCGGGGTTCATTTTGAGCACACTTTATCATGCTGGTCGGTGCATTGCTGGTTAAGATGGGGGAGCATAGCTGTTGGGGAGCACAGTACAGTACAACGACTGTAATTAATTTTTTGCAGGGCCCTCTGCTGACACCTTTTTTAGGCACGATGGTCGGCCATCCAAGCACCATCCAGCCTTAACCCCTGCTTAGCTTTCGAGATTTGAACATATCCGATGCATCCTGGGAAATGTGGTCTATCGGCAATCACTGTACAGTATAACAAAAAATTGCATACGATAAAAAAATATATTTTAAATCACGTATGCATGCGTTTATGTTGAACTTCTTTGGCACCACACGTAGCCAACAGTGCTAGGGGCAGGCAGCTTTCTGGGCCAGTGTGATGAGACAAAGAACAAAGATCCCCCGTATAGCCTTAACAGACTGTTGGGGAAAGTGCTGTTAGCGAGCACCTATGAAGGCCGCAACAGTACACGAGGGGGTGGGTGGCCAGCACGACGCCCGACCCCCTTTGTCTCCCCAGTGGTGATATTTACACACTGCACCAGGTACTCATTTGAGGCTGAGTCGACCTAGGGGAGGCCCAGAACCGGTTCAGATAATCGTCACCGGTGTTGGCCGTGAGCGGGAATCGAACCCGGATCGCCGGGCTCATAGCGCAGCGTAGCGCTAACCGCTCACACACACACACACACAGAGAGAGAGGTGAAGGCAACTTGCACAACCTTTGGTGGTCCCCATTGCCTCACCTCTGTGAACGTCGTTCTCTGAGCCTGCAGGTTCACCTTGACCACCTCGAAAGGGTTGATCACGATGGCCTCGGTGAGACCCGAGCCCAGCCCGGCGAGCGTGTACACCTTGAGAGGAGTGCACGCACACGCACACATGCACGCACCGTCGCATCGCGGTTAGCACACTCGCCTTGCAGGAGTTGCAAACCCAAAGGTCACCGGGTAAGATCTCCCACAGCGGCATGTTTCTTAACTCCCCTCCCAAGACAAAGATCCCCCCGTATAGCCTCAACAGGATGTTGGGGCAAGCGCCGTTAGCGAGCGGCACCTATGAAGGCCGGCACTTTGGTGCACGAGGGGGCGGGTGGCCAGCACCACTCCCTCGGGGAGCCTTTGTCTCGCCAGTGACGACGTTTACACATCGCATTAGGTACTCATTCGAGGCTGAGTCGACCTAGGGGAGGTCCAGGACCAGCCAACAGCTGGATTTAAGGCTTCCCCGATGAGTGTGTATTTCGCATCATATGTAGCAATCTGTGCTTATCGGAGGATGCGGGGGAAGGACAACAAACTAAAAACACAAAGCATTTATAGAGTAATTAGTTTTTAGTCTGGATTTAAAAAGTGCAGAGCTCCAGTGGCTTCCTAATATCGGGAGAAAGAGCGTTCCAGGCGGCCACAGAAGCGCATCTGAAAGGGCGCGACGCAGTGACCATCTTTGTTCGATGGCTAGCTAAAAGAGCGTCAGTGATGGAGGTTGTTTGACCATGCGTCACCACGCTAGCCAAGAGAAGGGAGGAAGGGGGTCCCAGGACCAGTTGGAATATCGCTCGCCCCTCATGTCAGCCGCGCCAGGGTGCGTAACGCAGTGCGCTAACCACTGCGCCACCACTCCAACCATATTTACAGTCGCTGTGGAATTTCTGACATAATCAAACGAACGCTCGACTTTACTGCCCTTTGAAAATGAATGCCTTACACCGGAGTCAATATGTACAGTATCCCTTCGTTATTTGCTAGATGCTCGTGAATAGCATATTTCGCGGATAATGATATTCGCCGATGGAAACCTATACTTTATCCCATCACTTTTATCTCCCATCACTTTATCTCTCGTCACTTTATCTCATCACGTTCCCTCTCGATGCAGTGCTCGTGCAGAGGTAGTTCCAGATGCGATTCGCGGACAGCCAGGATAACCGCGGACGGCAAGTTCGCGAACAATGAGGGAGCACCGCGTAACATTGGTGGGCATGCCACCGGCCACGTGAAGTGCTGACGCAACACGCCAGCAGGCGAATTACTTCACGCGCGCGGGGCCCCTCTCGGCATTCTTTGCGACCAGCAGCAGCAGCAGCGAAAAAAGAACGGGAGAGAGAGAGAGAGAAACAGTCGCGACGTGAAGAGTCTTCACTTACCATCCCCGCGGAGACTGGAGTGAGGTTAAGCAGCTTCTTATATTGCTCAAAGGTGAAGAACTGAGAAGAGGAGTGGGTTGGGGTGGCGGCGGGGGGGGGCATTGAGGGCAAGCGCAATTCATCGAAATGTCAACGAGGGCTGAAAGGTGCGCATAAATTAGCCGCACAATCACGCGCAACCGAGTGCCCTTCTCGCCGCCGCTGTCTTGTGGCACCACCAAAGGTCCCCCGTGTAGCCCGCTAACAGACTGCGAGGGCAAGTGCTGGAGGATGGACGAACCACGTGTCCACTGTTCGTGGTTTTCGTCAGCACATCCACGGTCGTCGTAGTCAGTGTGCAAACACGCAGCAGCAGCAGCAACAACAACAACAACAAAGATGTCCCGTATAGCCTTGACAGACTTTTGGGGCAAGTGCTGTTAGCGAGGTCCTATGAAGGCCGGCACGGCACACGGCGCGGGTGGGTTGCCAGCACCACGCACGCCCGCCCGCCCGCCTTTGTCTTCCCGGCGACGATGTGTACACATATTCTTTGGTTCTGTCGGTAAAGTCACGTAGATAGAATAATAATTTTAAATAAAGTGAATAAAAAATGAAAAAAAGACAAAAAATTAGAGGCTGAGTCGACCGAGGGGAGGCCCAGGACCGGGTCAGATATCCGTCACTGGTGTTGGCCGTGAGCGGGAATCGAACTCGGGTGGGCGGGTTCACAGCGCAGTGCGCTAACCACTGCGCCACCGCTCCCCACTGCCGCACGTGGTGACACGCGTCTCGATCCGCGTCGAGTGCTCGCTGTTGTTCACCGTGGTCGCGTTAACGCGCCAGGGCGTTTCCGTGAGAGAAAGAGAGGCGCATCCGTAATTCTGTAACGTGCATCAATAAACTCAACGCATTCGTCACAGACTCACTGCCATGACATGGGCAACGTCTAAATATGACGGCTGACGTTGCGGGCAATGAACCTTCTTCTTGTAAAGAAGGCCGGAATGTCGCCTAATTTATACGGTTTTTTTACCGAAGTGTTATTGAAAATATATATTTTTGTAATTTGTGCTTGTGTACCACTGTAAACGCAGCACCACAAACAATGTCTTTTCAGAATGTTGCAACGTGCACCGGGTGTTACTTTTTTGGTGCAAATATCACGGTGTATGTGAGGGATAATCCTCATAATCCTGCTGCTTGTGTGTGTTAAAACAAATGTCTCCGGATGTGGCTCCTGGATGGCAGGCGTATCACGTGGTCAGAGGTGGCGGCACCCTTGCACAACTGCATATTAGAAGAACAACTGGCCGTCGTTTATACGCTTGTGTTGCGATCGAAACGTCGTAGTTTTTGGTTATTTTTTTGTTATTTTATTTTAACCTATCTACGTGACTTTACCGAAAGAACCAAGGATATCAATTCCTGCAGTCACGAAAGCTTTAAGTCAATATTTGGCCGTCGTCTGTTTTGTTTTAGCCCTGAGGGTGTACAGGCGAGGGAAATGTATCGACGAATGAAGCTACCGTGTAGGATTTCACGTAAATCATGTTTTGCCACACGTTGTCCGACGTTTTGCGCTGCGAGCTTCTCCAGGAACCGAATTAGGTGAATGAAGCCGATTCAGTTCGTGAAGAAGCTCTCCACGCGTGGAGCGAAACGTCGGACACGTGGTGGATGACACCTGTTTGAATCGTGGGTGGAATGGCTGAAGCTGCGACGTGAATGTGTTTGTGGTGATGGCAGAAAGTGGGTCGGCCCTGTTGAAGAGTGAACTGAATGAAGTCATTTCACGCGGCATCGCGGGCACAACCAAACAGTCGCGCGCACACATATTCCAAACCCCATATCAAAACAAACGGCTTTGAATTAAAAGATGTATTTTAAAAAGGGATGATGCGATACAGATATATTTTAGTTCACGGTGGAGTGAAATATCGCGAGACGCATTGTGTTTTTGTTTTTCGTACCTTGACCGCTCGCTTTGGTGTCTCGGCTAAAACGGGCGGCAGCAACCCCTTGTAGAAGGACAGTGGCCTGATTTGCAATAAAACATCAAGAATGCAAACATACCGTCAGACACAGGGGACGGCGGTGGGGGAGGGTGGTGAGACAAAAACCCACGCAGAAGACAACATACTGGTCAAGTCCTTTCTCTTTTTTACAAATATGAAAAGCAGTTAACGACGACTTCAAGTGTCAAACGAGGACTCCGCCTCCTCGGCGTGTCTCGCTACTGCTTGGGAGCTGCGCGTTCATGCCACCTCGGTGCGGAACATCAACAACACGGGGGGGGGGGGCTAGCCAACGCACCCGGTGCAACGATTCTAAAGCAAATATGAGAGAATACACATCGCTACGCAAGTTGAACATCTTAAACAATCTTGATTTGAAGCGTTCGTTTACTGCAAGAATCCATACTCTTTGGTTCTTTCGCTAAAGTCACGTAGGTATAAAATACAAAAAATATATATATATTTTTTCAACTATTTGCCGTTTCCTGCCACCACTCCACCCCCCAACACGCCGTCGTGGGCAGATCGCCCGGCTCACTGCGACCTGGCTGACGCCTGCGCTCGCTGGCGACCCGACACACGCGGCATCAAGCGGAGCCCTCTCGGCAGTGGCGGGGTCACGAAAAACCCGGCTGCTCAGGGAGTGCGCCAATCGCTCAGGTGGGGTTCCAATATTCCATTCGTCTCGTCGCACAGTCGCACAACAGAGGCTATGAGATATCGCGGCTCCTCTTCCCCCAATCACACATCGTCGTTACGCTCACGGTCTCGAACGTTTAACGCTGTGGGAGCGCCCCGCTCCGTCTTCGCAAGATGCAGCCACTACTAAATGAAAGCATTTTCATAATGATAATAATACAAATTTAAACCGCGTTTGAAATACGCTGTTGTTGAAAACAAATCTCACGGTGGTTGTCAAGAGGAGCCCCAACTCGAATCTTTGGCGACCAGGCGCGGGTGGAGGGCGATGGGGGGGGGGGCAAGGCACCCCCCTGCCCCCACGCTCGCTACGCTCCTGCCTCTCGCCCATGGCTGCTGCTGCACATAGACATTACGGCCCCTTTTGGTGAATCCACTTGCGTGATGAGGGCCTGCCCCGCGTTGTGAGGCTCGTGGGCGTCAATTGAGCATTCTTAGCCATGCCTATCAGTGCAGGTTAGCGAAGGTTGGGAACATAGCCATAGGAGCATAGAAGTACAGTGCAACATTGGGTGTTTCTGCGTTGGTCTCCACTGCCCATAATGCAGCGCTGCGGTGGCGAGATGTCATCTGCCTCGCCTGGTCTGCAGGAGATCGTGGGTTCGATCCCGACCCTGACACCTGCTGTATAATTTGAGTTTGCGTGTCTCTCTCCCCACGGTTGTGTAGATTTTTCTCGGGTCCCCCGATTTTTCCCTTCACATTTAGAAGCATGCGTTCAGGGTATTGGGCTGCTATACAATTCCACGCGACAAGCCACATCGTTGAGCTATTATAATTAGTTGTGGCCGGTCGCATTTGAAAAAAGAGCTACACAGCTCAGTGGGGGTAAAAATAAAATATAAAATAAAGTATCCCCCACAAGCTGTGCAGGGTGGACACCATTCCAATCACTATCCAGGGTCAAGCCCGCTTGGCTTGAGCGAGTCTTATGATATCTTACCAATTAGTGCCTCCAAGGATCAAACTCAATTAGGGGCACGCTAATAGCAATAAACGAACGGGTCAATACATTACTCCGGGTCTGGCCCCCCTAAACTCAGGCCTTCGTATCACCTCTCGCACGCCCGCCACTGTCGAGTCAACGCGGCGTCACGTGACGGTGCAGCGTGTTGGTAAATAGATCGCGGGCAACGCGAATGCGCCAGTGGTAGGCACCGAATATGCCGGGGCTTGAGTTGACGAGCAACGGGGGGGGAGGTCCGGCATTTTTTGTATTTAATCGGTCATCATCATGGTTAATCCACCGCTGGATGAAGGCCTCCGCAAGCGGTCGCAAATCTTGTTTTATTGCACTGCGATGCAATGGAAAATCAATGTGGTTCATGCAAACAGGCTGACAACATCGCTTTCGTCTCCGGTAACGGACGCCTTCTGTGCCTCCTTCGGCTGCCACTCCTTTATTTGTCTTTTGGTTCACGTTAACTTACTTTGTGCGAGTAAATAAAAAAAATACATTCAAATGCATTTAGAACGCTCATGAAATCATCAACACCGTCTTTATTCATCGATGGGAGGAGCCGTGGCGCGGTGGTTAGCGCACTGCGGTCTGAACCCAACCAGCTGAGTTCGCTTCTCACCCACGGCTAACATCAGTAGCGAGGCGTAATCTGAACGGTGGCCCACTGACGGACGCCGTTCAGATCACGAGCGTAAGAAGAGATGTCAGGCGCTAAATACATCGATGCATGGTTACGCAAAGCAACGAAGCCGCGCCGCTCGAATTTGGTGACTCATAGCGCAACCACCATGGGACACCGCGCACGGCAGCAGTAAGTTGACTTTGTCACATTATGCTCGCCGTTCACAAGATGTGTCGTGGCCACTGCAGTGCGGCCTAATGGGAACAAGACATCAGCGGGGGTGGTGGGGGGTGGGCATACTCACACAAACAACACACGCCATTGACAGCTACGGCCACGTTTGTGAGCGCCTATTAAGGTCACGACGTGGTGGTGACGGGGCCAGCGTCATTAATTCACGGCTAACGTCTCTAATTCAGCGTGTCGTTGTTGTCGTTGTTTTTTCATGCTACTCAATATAATCCGACTCTTATTTTAGGCCAAGTCAACCTAAGCGCACCCCACACCAGATACGAATACTTGAATTCACATTTAAAACGAATTTCTTTGCAATTGCTTCGTGTGGTTAGTTCGTTGTACTGTCACCCGATGAGCAGGGTTGGCCTACGCACGGTGCGAAAGAAGTTCAACGTGCACACATACATACAGACCCAGCTCACAAACCCTCCATGTATGGTACCGCACGAAGCGCGAACCATACCGTTTGAACATAGATCAGAGAGACACACACACAGCCTTGCCTCATTCTCCACGATGGACATTCACACACACACACAGAGACGACGAGAGAGAGAGGGGGGGGTCACGGGATTTTTTTGTTGTTGTGAATTAAACCGTTCACAGTTGGAAAGTACAAAACAGTGTGAACGATAACTCAGAAGGTTAGGGCTAACTGTGTGTACACAATTTAGCCGAGGCCCACATGCCGCGTGTCCACATGAGCTAATGCGGCCACAAAGCCGTTTCCTTACCTTATTTATTTATTTCTTAAAGGGCTATCGATCCAGCGCGCCGTTAAGTACACTTGCAGCTGATTAGCATGGATTACTGTGCTCAAGGGCTTGGCAATACCCCCACTGCGGTCGGGCTTGGTGCTGTGGGGAAATGCTCGGCCACAAGGTCTGTAACAATTACCATAATCACACAAACAAGGTAGACTGCCATAAAATCACCTCGTCATTACTCCACAAGTGGCTCTTTATTTTTAGGACTCGAGCCAAGACATAACCACTTTATGCCCATTATTAAAAAAAGCATTTTTTTTTACTGAAGGAGGAAATAACTAAAAAGGCGAGAGAGAGAGAGACACTCACACACTCACAGACAGACGGTGACAGAGAGCGAGAGACGGGAACGTGCGAATGACGATGGATTTGTACCGCCGAATATTAAGATTCATTTTCCATCGGGGCGAAATAGTACAAATGTCAAAGGTAAGCAGTTTAAGTTTACAATCCGTCAGCCTGCTTACCGCATATGCAACCTGGGCAATGGGGTAACTATTGCCTCGGTGCCGATTGACGATGTGAGCATGGCAACAGAAGTTCAGCCTCAGCACTGGCTGGCATTGTGTGTGCCGTGGGGGGGAGTGGGAGGACGTGGGGGTGGGTGGGGAGGGAGGCGGCAGTGACAGAACAAGCAGAAACCTGACCCCGTCCTCTTGACCTGTCTCAATACGCACATGTTGCTTTGCTTGTGTCAACCGTTGCGTGACAGCCAACATATTAATTTATCCAGGGCGGTGTAGGCGATATGGGACGTACTTACAGGTAAGGGAAATGTAATATGGAGGCGACCTATTGGACTTACAACAACAATAATAAACACAACGGCAAGACATACCCTTCTTTGCGATACATTGTCCGGAAACAATCCGCCAGACTTTTGTAGCTGTTCGGGTCATTTTTGCCACGCTGAATTTGAAATCTGCAACAACAAACAGCAACCACCAATCAATAAAACAACAACAACAAAAGTAACCCTGAGTCGCAACACTTAACGACGAGAACAACAACAACAACTCGGGTTATGAAACACGTGCCTCTTATTCTTCTAAATGCGTACAGCTGATATAGATGCGTGTCTCCTCCGTATTTGTGGATCGGGGGCCATTGCGTTGTTAAACGATTGCACGGTCTATGGCTGGATGACCGCAGTCGCCACGCTATTACTGGAGAGTTTTTTTTAATCTTCCATGTGTGCATCATCAGGTATCCCCGTATCTGTAGCCACGGTTTGTGCGGCGGACGCGATTTAGGGTGGGAAGATCAAACCCAGAGATGTAGTTTTCACGAATTTTTATTCTTTCAACAACAACAACATACAACCCCCTCCAACGTTCCCCTGACGTTCACGTGAGATCGCGTGGGGTAGGGGGAGGTGATCATTACACCCTTGCGAACACGCGGGGGGGGGGGGGGGGCGACGAGGGGGGGGGGAAGAGAAAGTCAGCTGAGCGGAGATTGTTTATTGCATCTTCGGTGCTTCGTCGACAAGGTTTTATGTCGGTGGCGCAAGAGGGCATCGACATGAAAGTGGCCCCCGGCTGGCGGCCTTTACGAGCGGGCGTTAACGCGACCGCTGGCAGGGTCCTTTCATGGGGATCTCCGGCGCCTCGGCAGGCCGCGGGCCCCCAACCATTAAAGCCGCACCGCACGCACGCGCACGCGCGCGCGCACGCGCGCGCACGCCGCTCTCGGCTCTTAAAGCAGCCGGGAAAACGAGGATCATCGTCACGAGCTGCGCGCGACGCTGGCCGAGGATGAGGTGGTCGAGGAGGGTTGCCTCTCCAGTGCGCAGCATCGCGCACGTTCCAACTTGCATTATTATGATGATGAAGATGACGAGGGGGGGGTGACGAGGAGGAGAACGAGGTGGTTGAGGAGGATGAGGGGGACAAGGAGGAGGGCGAGAGGGACGATGACGGGGAGGAGGAGGATGGCCACTTCTATTCTTCACATTTTCCAGCCCATCCAGACACAGAGAGGAGTATTCATAATCGCCACCGCCATCGTCATCAGTGGGTCAAACACACACACGTACGCACAAACGCGCACACAAAAGTGTGTAAATAGAAGGCAGAGAAAAAAATCATTATCGTAGTCGTCGTCATGATCGATATCGGTGTTCACACGAGGAGGATGGGGAACCCCGTGTCCACTGTTCATTGTTTCCCAGTGTTCAAACACACTCAACAAAGGCAAAGATCCCCCGCATAGCGTTAACAGACTTGAGAGGCAAGCGCTGTTAGTGTGCACCTACGAAGGCTGGCACGGCACACGAGGGGGTGGGTGGCCAGCACCACGCCAGGCCGCCTTTGTCTCCCCATAGGCGATATTTACACACCGCACTAGGTTCTTCATTTGAGGCTGAGTCGACCTAGGGGAGGCCTAGGACCGGATCGCATAACCATCACTCGTGTTGGTGGCCATGAGCCGGGATCGAACTCGGGTCGCCGGATTCGCAGCGCAACACCCTATCCGCGGCGCCACCGCTCCCGACAAATGTTCATAGACACAACAGGCGTGCACACACACATTCAGTATGTCTGCATCCCCATAAACTTTCAGCATTAGTGCTACAAACAAAATCACCAAAGTTACTGGGTAACATGCCATATGGGGATACAACTCTTAAAATAAAGGGGCTAAAGGCAAAACAGTCCTTTATAAATACTGTTCACAAAAGACATGTTTTTCAACTGTTATATATTGTCGATAAATGTTGTGATCTCCTGGTGCGGCGGATAGAACAATAGAGCACGCTTCTTAATTGGGGCCCTAACGCACCCCTGCCCGCACGAGTCTGTCCACCCAGGAGTAGAACTGGGTTCACCGCAGCGAGTTGATCGGCAGGTCACCTGTGTGGTGGGGAAAAGTGCGGACACTCCCCACCTCTTGCAAGACGTCTGTGCAACGCGGAGACATAGGGAGAGAGAGAAACAAAATAACCCTCTAGAGTAGCTCTATAGGGCTCCCTCTAGTGGAGACCCTTCCACCAGCAGAGACACAGGCAAGAAATCGCAGCCCTGCGCCTTCGCCACTGCCGTATATGCCAATAAGGCTCGTATGTTTGGGGACAAAAATCGATGCACACGTCAAATCTGATTACCAATGCCCATGGGACGTGCGAATAACGTAGACGTGTCCGTATGCGGTCCCTTTGTCAATCCACTGCTGGATAGTTCACAGCTAAAAAAGACACCGTGAGAGAGACTCAGAGTCATGAGGAGGGGTGGGTGGGAATAGGAGACTACAGTGATAGTTCATTTCTTGCGATTTATTCACAAGTCTTGGTCTTCGTATGGTCCTTTTTTGGTCTCAAAGCCTTCGTGCTTTAAGGGCAGAGGCAATGCCGAATGTGCTAATCGTTATCATATATGTGGGAGCATCGTAAGTGCAGTACAACAATGCCAGCGGGTTCTTCATGGACCCACATTCTCCTCCGGTCCTGCTTTCATGTCTGCGCGCCGCGCAATTTTTACAAAAGTTGGTAAGAACAGTAAAACTTCCCGTCATAAATCAGCACGAAATACGGGCGACGGATAATTTCTTGGTGAATTTTCGTTGCAAAATAATCGGTCGAGGTTTTTTTTTAGCGGTGAGCGCGAACGCGATGGATTTTTTTTTGTTGCCAAAAAATAATGAGCCCGCAAATAAAACTCAAAATGAAAAATACGTGGACACAAACTGTCACGACATAAATGTAGCCCGCAACGGCGACCGTGCAACACTGAGCTATTAAAATAGACGAGGAAAAAGGAGCAGCCCTGCAAGTTGCCTGCTTATGCCACTGCCGGGCGGAAGGGTCTTCACGTCGCTATGACTCTAAAGAAGCCCCTCCAGAGGGTATTTTTGGCCTACTCTTCCACGCTGGGCAGATGTCTTGGAAGAGATGCGAGTACCCACATTTTGCCCCACCACACACGACCTGCAAGTTGACTGGCTGTGGTCTACCTATGCGTACTGCTGTGGACATACAGAGAAGTATGGGGGGCGATATTCAAGAAATTTGAAACTTGTTTCAAATGCCACGCCGGGAGGTTGCATCGAACCAGCAACCTCCAAATTGCACCACAGCAGAAACACTATTACAAAAACATGTTTTTACAGTTCTTTAAAATAAATATTTCTTAACGAATCAAAGCCACCGGGAAGACAAAGCACCACGCATCGTCCCGTTCTAAAAAAAAGAAAAACAACCCTTAAACTTTCCATTCTTCGTTATTTGTGCTGCAAACATGGGATTCCGCGAGTGTTGTTTACGGTAAAGTTTCTGGACAAAGCGCCAGGGAAGACCGGTGATGTATCGTGGCCACCGCGGGCAGCTCTAAAGCCTTCACGGGAAGTGGCAGCGGACAAGGGATGAGCCCTGGCACTCGGGCGCGATTCACCGATCCGTCACCACAACGCCGGGCTTAGGGTTTCCCATTCAGGGTCCGATGGCCCACAAAAATAAAAGGGGGCCCCCACCTATAATCCTCCCCCACGCCCCCCAACTCGCCCCGGCGTCAAAACACGTCCCGAGATAAGACGACAGGGTCTGCACCAGTCACGGGATTTCGCCCAAATGTCGTAATCCGACGAAAGGTCTCGTGGGATGACACCTGAAAGTGGCCGTTGGTGCCACGATATTCCGGACAGACGCGTCATCGCGCGTGCAGGGGGCCCACATGACAGCTACAGCAGCAGCTACAGCAGCAGCTACAGCAGCAGCTACAGCAGCAGCTACAGCAACAGCTACAGCAGCAGCTACAGCAGCAGCGGGTGTACTCTCACGGGTGGTGTGCGCTTCTCGGGCTGTTTGTTCGTAAACTTGTACCAATCCACTGCTGGATGAGTGTCTCAACACACCACGTGTATCACGAGCCGGTTGTTAGGATGGTGCGCGCTGGTTCAGAAGGCGGCGGGGAGCTTTGAAGTGGGAGCGTTGAAGTATGGTAACGGCAATGGATTTTCGCTGCACTGAATGCCTGCGACTGAACACCACGCACGTATGTGTGTACGTATGTCAGAGTTGGGGCCCCCTTGACAACCACCATGAGATTTGTTTTCAACAGTATCGGGGCATCACCTGACCGATTGCCGCACCCCCTGAACTGATAATGTAGTTACTACGCTACCGATGGATGTATGTATGATGAACTTCCTTCGCACCGTACGTTGCCCCACAATCATCCGCCGCGACGTCTTTGTGCCCGGGCAGGCGGGCGGGCCCATCCAAGCGCTGTGCACGCTCAACGCCTGCTTAGCGTCCCAGAGCCGCCGAACATCGGGCGCGCGTTCCGGGGTGACCGCGGTGGTCCTGGGTTCGAGACTGCGTCGCCTGTGCCACGCGGAGGAGGACGTCGCCGGCTCGGTTGGACGCCGGGAAGGGTGACAGAGGTGCCCGACGCTCACCCGAAGCTCTGCCCTCTGCACGATCAAAAGGCGCATTTGACTAACAGCTCCTGCTGTGAACGGTCAATTGGGCATTCACGGTGGACACCTTCAACGTTAACCCCGCTCCATATCCTCCAAAGGAACGGCTCATCCAAGTGTGTGTGTGTGTGTGCGTGCGTACGTCTCTTATCACCTGTGCGATGTCTAGTTCGTGAAAGCTCGACTGCCCGAAACGTTACGCTCTTGTGGGTTCCGCGATGAGTTGGGGTTATTTTTTCGAAGCGGAGCTTAATTTTGTCGAAATTCCATCTTCTGCAACTTCAAGCAACGCCGTGGCTGAGCGGCACGGGGACGCGATGCCCTCCACTGCGTCGACACAAATATCACTTAAAGAGATCTCGGAAGTAGCTCTGTGATAGTCGGGGAGCTGAGGGTCGCGGCTCGAGACCTGCAGGCCGTCATAGTTTTCACTGCGGGGGTGTTGACCATAACATACTACGCACCAATATGGGACATTTCTTGCCAGTATCAAAATATAAGAATAGA